TCAATTAAAACTTCTTAATTGGAAAACTAAATATATGTATATCTTTATAAAAGGACGTTTAAACATATTCAATTGAAGAATGTGCACAACTCCGAGAATGTCGGATTGAGTTCTTTTCATGATTTTATTTTATCAAGCATGACATTTAAGAAATGTTGATAAAGTACTTGTTTTTTAAGTTTTTCTTAAATTACAGAATATTGTTGAGCATTGTTATTTATTTTTTTAGTAAAGCTTGCATAATGAAGATCTTATATAATACAAACTACACTACCAGCGGTAGCAACATAGGCTTTCGCAAAAATCCATTTTTATTTAGGTCATATTGAGAAAAAATTTAAAAACGAATATTTCAAATTATAGATATCTTCAATTTGCAACTCATTTTATAGGCTTTACTTTTGATTCAATTAATAGCTTTGTACAGAAATAGGTATATAAATCTTCTGATTTCATGAGTTCAACTCCCTAACATCCAGTTCGTCAATCCAGATTGTATGGTGTGCTAGCGATGTTCACACTCCACTGCCATCACATTTTTGTTTAAAGGCTGCCTTTACTAAAATATCTTAAAAAGCTAATTAAATTTGCGTAGGTTTTTTATTAGTAAATCATTGATATTACACATAGCAAGAATATTTTTTTAATTTTAATTTCTTCTTGTCCGCTAATTCTAACGGAATTAGAATACAGTTCAAACTAAATGTCAAAATGCTACTCCCCCGTTTCTAATTTACTACCTTTGTAAAGGTCAACACTGCGCCAGCATTTCATTCCATAGTTAATGGACTATTATATTTTAATTTGATTTTTATGATAATTTTTTGAAAGGCACCTAATTGAAGCGGATTCATTTAATACACGAGTGTATAAATGTTGCAAAAAAAATTATATGCTAACTAAAATACTAATGGTTCATGCACAGATGGAATGTGTATTGTGACTTTGGTCAATTGTGCTGTAGTTTCATGCGCGAGCTAACAAATATAGAATTTGTTTTAAATAATTTTTTTTTTTGTTGAGTGCTGAGCACTGTTAGAGTTCGAAGAACATCAGACTTAGTATCAGACAAAAAGCAGACTATTTTCATATATATTTTTTTGTTCTATTATATTATACTAGAATTTTATCTCTTAAGCTAATTACATTTCGTACAGCTAATGATATTTTTGTTAATAAAGATAGGAATGTTTTGGGTTATGATTACTAAATACAACAAAATATGTTTACCTATCGATAAAAAGGTTTTGGTCACTTTATTATTTGTTTTTGTAATGATTAAATTGTTTTGAAAAATAATTGTTTTGTTACGATAAGGAATACGTTCCTTAACTTACCTCTGTGTTAAAATGAAATGTCCCCATTTCAAGACATCTATGACTGAAGTCTGAAGACTGAAGTAATTCCGTTTCGAATACTTCTTCGAAATTTCATCTACGTTGGTTATTTGTTTGTACTTACTGATAGATATATATTTTAGCATATGAATACATGATTAAAACTAATATTATACTGACGAAAATAAGATATCAAATAAATTTAAAGCGATGTTCTTCTTAAGAACTGATACATTTTTTATATATTTTTCAAATTTATAATTACTTTCAGAAGATAGTACATTCAATATTTCTTTTTTTCATTTTCATGAGCATGGATTATATTTTATATTTCTGGTTTATGGTTTATATATATTTTATTATCAATGGTAGTGCTATGGTCATATTGGATTAAGTGTGGTCCATTTATTTTCTGCCCATTCCATATTTATTATCATTTTCTTGTATCCCATTACATTGAGCTTTTTGGTTTAATAATAATGGAATTGTACATTTATCTTTTAACTCCATTTTACAAATATTACCTCCTATATAATTCTTACTATTTGATATATTTGTGAAATTATTATTACATTTAGCAATTTTATTTTTTAACTCATATTTTCCGTGTTTAAATATTGGATATTTATAACTTGTTACAATGGCACTATTAAAAATACATGCATGGATATTGAAGTATTCTAAAATATTTATTATTGGACTGTCATATGATTCTGTTTAAATGATTTCTTGTACTTCCCTAATATTTAATTTTTCTGTTATGGATTTTGAATCTAGAGTTTTTAAGATTTTCTCAATTGTGAATTGATTTGTTTTTGTAGATTAATATTTTCTATTGAATAGTTAAGACTTTGTATTTATTTTTATTAGATCGTCAAAAATGAGCTTAAAAAATTAAGGCCACGTTTGATTCGATGCTCGGATGGTACCAGTTGTGTTTTCAGTATTTCTATTCTGTTAATTAGAATACTTTCTTACTGGGATTGTATGCTACTGTATCTCGTTCTCATTATATTCTCCTAAAGCGCTAATATTATCGAAAGGTTTGCTATATGATACAGCTAGGCCGGAAGGCCGAAAGGCTTGTTATCTTTTCAGCAAATGCAAACGAAATCGATAAGATAAATAAGCTAAAGTTTATGACTCCCATTCTTTGCATTGCGTGCTTTGCTTCGTAATGCTATTTTTATGTATAACCTTCCCCCTCACCATTCAAATCGTATCCCCGCGATGGTATCTTCTTTCACTTTGTGTTTGTTATATTTTGTTGCACACTTATTACGTCGATCTGTCTTGCTATATATAATATCACCTGCTTTATAAGTTATATTTGTTTCTGCTTTTGTTATGATATTCTAATAGTTTATACCGTTGTTGGCACAAAATATCCTTGATATCGGTAAGTTTTTCCCTATTGAAAAATTCGTCTTCAGGTTTGTGTACTGTGAAAGAATGAATAGTCCGATTGTATTCGCGAACAGCGTTGAATATTTCTTCACCAGGCGCGGTTTTATTTTCAGATGCTAAACCTTGACCGTTTTACTTGAATGGTGTACTAGAGTAACTGAATGTATTGTTTGTAATCTATTGCATAAAGATTTTACTATAAATGTACTTTCATTATCCGTCATAAGATATTTAGCATTTCGTAAACTTGTGTGGGCATTTTTTTTTATTGATTAATGGCAAACTATCTTTGTTTTTAGCTTTCGTAAATAATAATATCTGGAGTATATAGTTATTGAGCTAAGGTACAGCAAATTGTTTATATGAAATATGTCCATTTGTATATATTCTCCTATTCGAGTTTGTATTGGACTTTTTCCTATAATAATATAACAACATAATGCTTCTTTTTGACTCCTTCCCTAATGTTAGGCCAAAAATGAGTTAACAGAATTTCTTAGGTGTTATTCATGTAATTTTTTTGCGCACGTTTATGAATTTGAGTGACAATTTCTTTTTGTTCGTTTTAGACAATAATTTAAAGGTACTTTCATTCTCTCTTCTCAAACGTGTTTCGACTTTTTCGTGCTACTCTCTTCTCTTAAAAAAAAATCCACTATTTTTAAATAAATTATGTGGAAAATTTTCATATTTTTTTTAAATGTTTAAACATTCACGTATTATATCGCATTTTTCAACCCCTGATAGTGGGCTTCGTCGATTGTATGTTTTATATCATTGTTTATTACAACTTTAGAAAATATTAAGAAAATGAAGAGATTCGGCCACCAAAATTTAAATCGAATTCAAGAAGATGAGTAGCTGAGTGGAATTACTATAACTACGTTTGAATGTAAATCCGTCTAACGATATTAGAGGTGTTTAAAGGAAATTTCATACGCAAACACGACATTGTTTTATTAATTGTTGGTTTTTAGAGCAGTGCAAACTCATTATAAAATCCCATAATTACGCCAAAAGTCGATTAAACTCTCAAACACTTTTGAGTTCAACCTAACCGATGGGTCAAGTAAAAAGTTCGTTCGGTTTTTATCTAAGAGATGGCGTTATTGTCCATAGTACTAGTGTTACGTGTCGCATCATGTCATACTATACGGCGCTGAAAACGTGTTTATTCGCGCTAAAAGCTTGTCTTTGACAGTTTTTCGATTGATTGACTCAGTATGTTGTGAGCGCTCGTCATAGATGGACACCAGCAAAGAGGTCAAGGCGAAAAAGCAGCGGCTGAAAAAATTAATTTAGTTTATGGGCCCGATACTGTAAACGAACGCGTAGCACAAAGTGGTTTGCTAGGTTCCGTTCCGTTAACTTCGATGTCAAAGATGCACCACGCGTCGGGAGACTTGTCGTCGAAAATTGCGATTAAATCATAGAAATAGTGGAAACAGACCGTCACGTGAGCACTTATTTAATTGCTGGGGAACTAGAGATAAGCCGTTTTCTCGATCAGATTTTTTTAATAATATCTGGTGAAAAGCGGATTCTAAATCTATTGTTGAAAAAACCTTTGCTTTTCCTAAATTCTGATTAGTCATGTTTACATCTGGGATGGGACACATGTCAGTAATTGTATTCCCTTTTATTTTTTGGAAATTAACAGCCATTCGCCTTTTGGGTCTAGCTTTGTCACGGGTGTCCTGTTTTGCGACAGTCCATATAGGTGAATTCTGAACTTCTTTGGTATTACTTTCTTCTTGAACAAATAGTTTGTCTTTAATTAAAAAAGTGTAAAGAACAATTAGAAATGAAGTAGTAAATTCAACAACTTGGGTGTACTCAAGTTCACTGTCCATATTTCACACTACTCATTCATTATTTTTTTAAACTGATTATTTTGTGATTGATATCAACTTACTTAAAAGCAGAGTGTAGTGGTGAACCCATCAGGCTGTTCTTGCAGGGTTCTGTATCTTCTATATTCATTAGTATATGCAATCTACGAATACTTTATTTATTGTTTTATCTCAAGGAAATTGAAACATAAATACGATAGATCGGCCCAGACGATTCGTTATTTGCAAATATAGCTTGTTAGTAGTAGTCAATGGAAATATTAAATGAAATAGAGTGCGAATTTCACTTATCATAATTAATATTATTGTAATGTTTCTATTATAATAAGTGTTATAGCTTTATTATCAATAATTCTTTATATTTATTGTTAACAATATGCTAATATTATATACACACGGACAGGAGGAGGAAATCTGCCCGCTTCATCCGCCAATAATAATTCTGCCGAGCAAAAGGGTAATTTTACCATAACAACGCATTCTAAAGGCGCTAAATTGGAAAATGACCACAGTAAATTCACCTTACCCGGCTCAACAGTCTTAATAGCCATCAATGATTGGGCTCCAGAAACAATAAATAAAACTCAATCGTCTACAGAAAGTAAGAAAAACACGGTCGAATTAGTTGAAGTTAATCGGGTTTGCAGGAACAAACAAAATGAAACTAATTATTCGAATATTAAAGAAGAAATAAAAAAAGAAACTCAACCAATCTATGAGAACAACCCGTTATGTCAAATTGCAAGCAAAAGTTGCCATCAGAATGAGAAAAATGCAACTTCTGTTGAAATGAATGAATGTAATCAACCGATATATGCTATAGTCAATAAAAGTAAGAAACTAAAGAAGCATATTGTTTCATCTGAGGACTTATTGCAAAAAGAATATTTAGTTAATATCACCAGTAAAAAGACAGAGCAACTTAACAATTTACTAAAAAATTATAATAAAACAAAATGTAAAGAAACACTTGATACTTTTAGAGATATGGCAGAAAATGAAAACGACGAAAACGCTCCGAATATTAATTATTCATCCGTAAACATATGCCCTAACTCTATAACTTCAGATCCAAGAGTTGGTGTTAATGCAGAACATTCAATATATGCAAAAGTGTGGAAAGGCCCCCGGAAAACAAGTGAATCAAAAATGTATGCATTAATATTAGCTGCATGATCAAATTATTTATAATTTTAATTTTCTTTCAAAACCAATCCTACATACATACACTTGCTCCTTGCTAAAGCCGCAAAAGCGCTTTGCAACTGGGTTTTTTTATCTTCTAATTTTTTGCAGAACATTTTTTCTTACACGTTATCACTTAAATATTTTTTCGTTTAAAGCATTAAACCACGGATATAATATCTCTTTTTTACTGAAAATATTTTTTCCTAGTGGGCTCCGCTCCTGCCGCACTTATATCCGCTTCACACGCAAGCCCCGCGTCACACGCTGGTCACGCTCCACTTGATCCGCTCACTCCGAGCAGCCGCACACTGACGGAGGCATTTCTAATGGTACCTGTCAACCTAAACGGGATTAGGTCGCCGAAGAGTGACAACCCTTGACTGGAAAAAATCCGTAGGTCCGGCTGTCTCTGGTCTGGAAATTGTAGCCGGTTGAACTCCTACTTATCCAGACTCGATCCCGACGTACCTAACGTATGTCCTGCATGTAACGAGTGCCCGCACGACCCTACCAACCTCTTTGCATGTCCCCTAAATCCAACCCTCCCAGCTTGTTTTCTAGACCATCCTTTCGGTGATCTCGATGACTTAGACGGATATAGCCTGTTTCTAAGCAGGGTTGGCCAACCGCTATTGCACCAATATCAACATAGACACATATCTCTGATTCTTTCCATTCGTTACGTTGCTACTCACAGTGCCTATAACACAAAATAAAATATTCAGGACACCAGGTTCAACATTTTTTTAATATAGAGTTCTTTAAACTGTAAAGTTTTAAAAACCTTAACATATTGCCTCCCACTACTACACCTATGGTTGTCAATTATAGTAACAATCTTCTGTTGTTGACTTAGCCACAACAATATTTTCTAAAATAGTTATTGGGGAATGTTGCGATAGTGACAGTCCTTGGCCGGATAAAAATTTGGGTCGTTCTGGTATAAAGACACGTCTGTCGAGGGAATTTTTGGATGTTAGTCGGCTCTAACGACAGGCATGCCCTAGCACGGGTAAATTCTTGAACCTCGCGGGCAAAAAAGTAGTTGCCACTGTGAGAGGAATCTCCTTTTTGTGATTTTCTGATATGAAAATAATTCTAACGCAGTTTCAATCAAAATCAAGAGTTTTATAAAAAAAAACATTATTTTTTGTTTTTGAAAAAACTTCGCTTTATATAAACACTTTTGTCTCTTCATACGCTTTTTATTCTTAGTTTTACATTCACAAGTTGTGGTAGTAGTATACTATATAATCGTAAAATATTTAATACTTTCCGGTTAAACATGTACTTAAAATTTTTTAACAAGAAAAAATAAAATTAATAATAATTATTCCTATACTTGGCTCTATATTAATTTAGAAAATGTGTGAAACGTCCTAATATTTTTTTTTATAGATTCAATGCATCTTCAAATCAAGAGGATAACAATATGCTCAATAACACAAGAAGAACGTGGACATGCTCAAAGTGCTCCTATGCATATAATCGTATTTGGACCGACAACTGCGAAATTTGTGAATCTATTCGTAGCCAGCCAACGGTAGAGCAACCCAGTTTAATAACTGTAACAAAGTCTGAAAATTCAATAACATCAGCAGGTTAGTATACAAATTACGAATGCAATAAGAATATGAAATAGATTTGTAGATTTTTTTTATAGATTAATTTAAGCAAACAAGTTTTGTAAAAATTTTCGAAAATGTTTTCGACGACTGTTACCTGCTGACGTAAACAGGGTTCGGTTGCCGAAAGGGGTCATTGGCCGGATGAAACCCTACTCAACTCCGGTGCGTAGCACCTGTTGTCGCGAGAGTTGTTTTTCCCCTTGCTGTATTCGATCCAGGCAATGAACAACGTGCTAAATACTCATTACTAAAAGATTTTGGACCAAGAGATCGGACATTTCAAATTTCAAACATGTGCTTCTCTAGGTAGTCTTTTCTCTCCTTCACATATACCTTATATAATCACATGAATGAACAAGCTGGGCTCTTTAACTCCCACTTTACTCGGATTATAGTACTCCAAGTTATTACTATACTGGCGCAGACACCGCTTTCGCGCTTTTGCGATTTTGGCCGATTTAACAACATTGCGCCATTCGTTTCTTCTTTTTGTTGTTTTGCACCAATTCAAAATACCAAGTACAGCCAGGTCCTTCTCTACCTGGTCTTTCCAACGGAGTGGAGGTCTTCCTCTTCCTCTGCTTCCACCGGCGGGTACTGCATCGAAAACTGTCAAAGCTGGAGTATTCGCATCCATCCGGACCACATGACCTAGCCAGCATAGCCGCTGCTTCTTGATTCGCTGAACTATATCAATGTCGCCGTATAACTCGTACGGGACCATAAATCTTACGCAAAACCTTTCTCTCGAAAACTCCTAACGCCGACTCATCGGGTGTTGTCATCGTCCGTCCATGCTTCCCCACCAAATAGCAGAACGGAAACAATGAGGGACTTGAAGAGCTTGGTTTTTGTTCGTCGGGAGAGGACTTTACTTTTCAATTGCCTACTCCGTCCAAAGTACCGCCTGTTGGCAAGAGTGATTCTGCGTTGGATTTCAAGGCGTTGGCGTTGATGCTGCTTCCTAGGTAGACGAAATTATCTACGACTTCAAAACTATGACTATCAACAGTGACGTGGGAGCCAAGTCGCGAATGCGATGACCGTTTGTTTGATGACAGGAGATATTTCGTCTTGTTCTCGTTCACTACCAGACTCATTCGCCTCGCCTCTTTACCAAGCCTGGAGAAAGCAGAACTAACGGCGCGGTTGTTGAGGCTGATAATGTCAATATCATCGGGATACGCCAGTAGTTGTACAATCTTATAGAAGATTGTACCTTCTCTATTCAGCTCAGCAGCTCTTATTATTCTCTCCAGCGTCGTATAAGTTTTGTGTATTTATAGTAGCTGTACATAATTCATTAATAATTAGATATAAATTATTTGTTTCTTTTATTTCATCATTTCTTATTTCAACAGAACGAATTGAAGGTAAATGGACATGCAAAAAATGTACATTAGTTAACGACCCCACTTCAATTGCCTGTGCTGTGTGCGGAGGATCGAAGCTACGAAGTATTTGTTCCGTAGAGGATATGACATTGCGCAAGGGTGAATTTTGGACTTGTAATAAGTGTACTCTAAAAAATAATTTATCTACTGGAATATGTAGCGCATGCAAATCTGTGCGATCATTACCAATTGAACCCAAGAGGTTACAGATAAAGGAGATCAATACCGAAGGTAAGTTTTTCTTTAATTGAAATTACGAACTCCTAATTAAAATTGTACCTCGCAAAATTATGTTGATATTTAAGGATTTGCTCTGTCTGCTTCTCACATCGTACAACCTACCCAATATGATGAATCTTCCAATAATGCGGTGTTAATTCCCCGATATTAAAAAATAAACGAAATTAATCGCCAATTTGTTATTACCACAACATGGTTGTACTCGGGATCATTAACCATATTTCACATTTCTATATATTTTGAAACGGAACTTTTCCCATAAGTTTGGAAAGAATTAAATGCTATTTGCAGCAAATATAAAATATTTCACATAAGGAAGACCCAAACAAAATAGTTGATGTAATAAACAAGTTTCTTAGGGATACATTTCTCGTCAATACACTTGAAAGAGTGCTCCATGAGTAGGAAGGTAGGTAGATAGGAGTGTGCCCAAAGAATTTCAGACCTACACCATGTATATAGTTATACCCGTTATGCATTTTGTGGACAGCCATTTAACTCTTGGCACCTGATAGATCGTCAGGATTCTCTGAAGTGCAACATAGGTTAATATAGGTTTTAACGGCGCTTGACCAAAGCCAAATGTACCCTCTAACCAAGTTTATTATTTTGTAATTACATATTTGTAATGTTCAAGCACCCACTCAATGTTTTATCAATGAAGTTTGATTGAGTTTAAAATTTATAAATACTCAACGAAAGTCACAGCGGATTTGACTCAATAGTATCAGATTTGAGAACAGGTGGTTATCACAACACAGAATAATAATGTAAACAACTCGTTTATTAAAATATTCGTTTTTATGAAAAATTTTTAAAAATTTAAATCTAATACTGTGAATATACATATATATGCTTAAAGTTTGTGTCAGAATCTTAGACACTTTCATAATTCCAATGTAAACATAATTTCAAATAAAAAATAATACCGTTACAGTGTATGGCAACTGAATCTAAGATTACTTCTATTTGAGATAGCTAAGTAAAGTTTTTGGCACAGGTTTATTAAAATTATAAAAATATTTTGAAATAAATTGGACACTGTCAGACAACTCCCGCCCTCTTTTGTAGTGACACCACCGCCTCACCATGTTCAAAATGATGTGTGCAATAAATTTATAATATTTTATTTATTATATAGCTATTATTTAGCAGATTACCTTTAGCTAATTATGATTAATGATGCTAATCATAAATAATTTATAACTAGTTCGGAGAAAGAAGAATTACCTTTACATAGTACACTACGCTGTCCTGAAATGAGTAGGTCTGAGTTTGGCATTAGGGTATTTATAAAATCTGTGCTGGATGAAACTGGGGAAGTTTTACGGGTGTGCAAAAGTCGAAACGCTTTAATATCTTTGTTCCGTGACTCAGCTGCTTCTTTGGAAAGTTCTCCAATTGATACCAGCGCGTTTCCAATATCTTCTGGAGTGTGAATTAGAATTTTATATGCTGAAGGTGGAAGGTAATACGAAATTCGCAACCTTTTTTTTTCAAAGTATTGTTAAAAACGCCGCTTTCCTTTATTAGATGTCCCACTAAACCTTCTTTTCCCTTAAACCTTGGTTGAATTTTACTTTTTCATAGTGAGAATTCTTTATCTTTTGAGGACCTTACTTTCCATTGTTTTAGTTCCAGTCAATGTGATACATCAAGAAAATACTTAAATAATTGAATGTATACATGAAAAGGAGGTAATCCATACTCATAGGAACCTTTATTAACTTCCTTTTTAGGCTATTTTAAGCATCGTTCGTTTCAGTGGGTTTAGCATCATCAATGTAACATTTCATAGACGAAGTTTGAATTAATGCTTTGCATACTTTTCCATCTCCCTTTGTAGACGAACATTCCTATTTTGATTTTTAAATATTTTTCCTCATCGATGACCAACCGGGTAAAGTATTTTTTAAATTGAAACGGGATTGGTCGACAAATAACGGGTTGACAAGTGACGCGGATTTTTCCAAATTATTTTAGTGCTATATGCCTCAGTTGCTTTTGTAATGAATGAAAGATGTACGTACGATGTAACGAAAAAGTTACTACCTTCAAAATTATCTTTTCTACCTTTTTCTTATATTCGCTAGGACCCGAGCTACCGGCAAACCCCAACGTTCCTCATTTTACGTTCACCAATACAAAAATAACATATGCGATCATAAGTACATTTAAAATTTTTGTTTTTAAATTTAATAAAAGTTTTAAAAAATTGTATGTTCAGCTTCATACTAGTTTAATATTAGTTCTTTCAGTCTTGTTGAATTTCAATTTCACCAAAAAACAAAAACTAAATCACGCACTATAGTGAAGACCTCTAACCACCAGACTATCGTTATGATATTATATATGGAGAGAGCGAAATGCGAATGACGCGGAGGTGAAAATTTCTGTCTCACCAAAAATTAAAAAATTCTGTTTCACTAATTATTAAAAAAAAAAATGAAACTTAGAAATTAATTTGACTCTAGCGGGACTCTAACCGAGGGTTTAACGCGCTACACTGATAACCTCTCACCACTCGGCTATCGTGACTATGCAGCGATCAATGCCATTTCGCGCACTTCAATAGAACAGAGCAGAGAATGAAATTCAGCCGCGGGTTGCCGATATAACAACAAACAGTAGTGGATATTGTTATTGCTCCCGTTACTGGTGGGCTTCTCTACAAATAAAGAACTGGTATGATTTCATCTTCAACATACTAGTATTTAACTAGAATTTTTGCGTACGAGTTGGTTTTCCCCTACTGGGTTATTATCAGTTGTAATTGTGTATAGTAAAATAGGTTGAACAGCACAAAAGTAAAGTATACGATCCGTTCGTATACAGGAATGAAGGATAGTACGTCGACAAAGTCTTGCACAATAAATCCAACACTAAGTTTGCAGTTCACTGAATGATCACAAAAAATGTCATTGGCCTTATTTTTCCGTTTATCAAATCTCCTGGACGATGGTTATGTCATCAGCAAAATTGGAAGTTCTCATGTCAGGATGTTGTCTAAATTTTAGCGTAAATTCGAAATATTCTTATAGCTTTCTGCGCACATTGTTCTAATGAATTTGACCCATTTCACTGGACTTACCTACGTGTACATTCCTTTTCAGTTTCAATAAAATAATAATAAAATATTTCAAAAACATACTTATCTCTTTTATCAATTTTTAAATACTTCTATTGCAGAAACTGTTGCCTCTCATGCCGCTGACGCCAGTTCCCATTTTTGGCAACCCATCGCGAAGACAGTAAATTTACAACCGAGTCAAATAAAGGTTTCAAGAAGCCCCTCCCCTCGAGAAATTCAAGGCTCGTCAGGTGCTATTCCTAAGAGACACAGCACAGGAGGTAGTATATTAACCTCTAACTCAGGTTCTGTAAGTACCTCCGTTTCACCGATTACTGCGTTAAATGATACTACTGGTCAAAATAGAACTAATATCGTTAATAGTAATACTGTATCCAAAATGTGGCAATGCCCAGCTTGCACATATGAAAACTGTCCAGCTTCTGTTGTTTGCGACATGTGTTCAAGTCCCCGAGGTTTAGCCAGCAGTTTAAATGAGTCACCACTGATAAGTGCCGGAAAAGTTACCATAGATATTCGGCAGGAGAGCAAACTTATGGAAAATCTGCGACAAATTGAAGAAAAGGAGGCTTTGAATAAATGGAAAAATATTATCCAGTATTGTAGTGATAACAACGAGCTTTTTGTAGATGACTCATTTCCTCCAGCACCTAAGAGTTTATATTACAATCCAACTAATAGTATTCCTGATGGTAATCCAGTTGTGCAGTGGAGACGTCCTCATGAGATAAGTTGTGAAGGCGGAACTTTTCCGCCATGGGCGGTATTTCGAACGCCGCTACCGTCGGATATATGTCAAGGTGTGTTGGGAAATTGCTGGTTGCTAAGTGCGCTTGCCGTACTGGCAGAACGCGAAGATCTAGTTAAAGAAGTATTAGTGACAAAAGAAATATGTTTACAAGGTGCCTATCAGGTACGTCTATGCAAAGACGGCAAGTGGATAACAGTTTTGGTTGATGACTTACTGCCATGTGATAAACGCGGTCACCTTGTTTATTCACAAGCTAAAAGAAAACAACTTTGGGTTCCTTTAATTGAAAAAGCGGTGGCTAAAATTCATGGATGTTATGAAGCTCTAGTTTCCGGGCGAGCTATCGAAGGTTTGGCTACCTTGACGGGAGCACCATGTGAAAGCATTCCATTACAAGCAAGCTCACTACCAATGCCCAGTGAAGATGAATTGGATAAAGACCTAATCTGGGCACAGCTTTTAAGCTCTAGATGTGTTCGATTTTTAATGGGAGCTAGTTGTGGTGGTGGTAACATGAAGGTAGATGAAGACGAATACCAACGAAAGGGTCTACGTCCCCGTCATGCGTACTCTGTTCTAGACGTTAGAGATATTCAGGGGCATCGTTTATTAAAACTTCGTAATCCCTGGGGTCATTACTCCTGGCGTGGAAACTGGTCCGATGATTCTGATCTTTGGACCGAAGATTTGCGGGAAGAATTAATGCCGCACGGCGCTTCAGAAGGTGTTTTTTGGATATCATTTGAGGATGTACTAAATTACTTCGATTGCATAGATATATGCAAAGTACGTTCTGGATGGAATGAAGTAAGATTGCAGGTACTATAAGTTTAACAAAACATATTTAGAAATAAAAACGCTATTAGCATGGACTGTAATCGTTATAAGCTATAAAATAAGAACCACAATTTAGTGTGGTTAAACGTGACGCCCACGGTGTTTTTTTCATTTCTCCTATAAAGGTTTCTTTGTTTGCAATCTTCATTAAATCTCTGATTGGACATTAATAATTTAATTTTACGTTGACTAAACTTAACTTTAAAGGACTTCATATTTCTCTATACATATTGGGACCACTGTTTAGAGGTTCACATCTTTCGTCCAAGAGACAAATATCGGGGAACCAATGAATGACTTTAATTCAATCTTTAAATTTTCAAAATCATAAACAGACACATCAAACACATATTGCACATAACGATCTATCTTGATTGGTCTCCATCAATAGTTAGCCAGACCGACTTGCTTAATTGATTGTCTGGATTTTCTTGCTCGTTATTTTGGATTTCTACTTTTGTCTTATTCACTGGTCGCAATCCACAAGAAAATAATTTTTTCATCATTTAATACATTTGCTCCTTAATAAAAAAAAATTTCTCATCTTTTTTTTTTTCAAATAGGACACTCTACAGCCTCTTTGTTCGATTTCATGCGTTTTGCTCACCGTCTTAGAGCCAACAGAAGCCGAATTTACGCTTTTTCAAGAGGGACAACGAAACTCTGAAAAATCCCAGCGTTCTCAGCTGGATTTGTGTGTTGTGATATTTCGAACACGTTCTCCCGTGTCTCCAGAGATCGGGAGATTGGTGGAGCATAGCAAACGCCAGGTAACTTGATTAATCTATTATTTAAAATTACAATAAACAACCGTTAAAACGAAAAATACATAAATGGACAATTTGATTTCATTGAATCAGGTTCGCGGATTTGTTGGTTGTCATAAGATGTTGGAACGTGATATATATTTACTAGTTTGTCTTGCATTTAATCATTGGCATACTGGAATTGAAGAGCCTCACCAATATCCCCAATGTGTATTGGCTATACACAGCTCCAAACGTCTTCTTGTAGAGCAAATTACGCCCTCGCCGCACTTGTTAGCCGATGCAATAATAAGTCTCACTTTATCAAAGGGCCAGCGTCACGAAGGAAGAGAAGGAATGACCGCTTATTATTTAACAAAGGTATTACATTTTCGATTGTAATTTATAGACTGCGTATTTTAGTGCAGACAATTTTAACAACTTTCCAATATGCAATACCGACTTGCGAATAATTTGAACCTTATCGCTATCATATGACTTTGTAGGATTCTTATAATTATAATCGAATATGATTAGGTTTTCTTTTTTGTTATGAGGTTTTATAATGTACCGAAAATCGCTTCAGCGGTTACAAAGCGCGAGTTCTACGGCATCCATGTTTTGTTGAATACTAATTTTTAGCCGTTGAAAGTTTAAATTTGATTTTTAAATTTGGTTAACGGGTTTTATCTCTAGCTCTGTTCACGGCTGCTACCACTTTGTTTTCACCGAGCGAAAGCTCTGGTGCTGTTCTGAAATCCGATAGTTGATATTGATTTTACTTGCTCTGCATTCCTATGGGAATTGAGAAATAGAATAAAAATACATCCGGTTTTAAGTGGCAAAACTCAATTTTTGCTGCAATTACAATTCATTTATAACTTAGTAACTTGTTTGTTATTAAAAAATATAAATGCAAGGTGTAATCATAAAGATGAGAGTAGGAGAACAAATATTAATATTAATTTACTATGAGTTAACTTTTAATTGTTTAAAGTGGTATAAGAGTGCTGAAATTCCACTAATTTGGCCGAATGATTAACTATTCCTCGATTCAACTCTTAGGAACTTCCTTGATCAAATTTATAGCTTTTATTAGTAATAGAGGATAATGAAAATGCTAACTTATGAACGATTTTACCATTCTTTATCTTGTGAAATAAAAATTGTTACTGAGAAACCGCAAGTTAGAGGTTTTGTTACTAGCTAATTCTCACTGACATTTCTCACCGAACAAAGCTATTGTAATATATGCTGCATGCTGCACGCAGAGACGGGAAATGAATACTGGCGAAATGGATAGAGTTCAATATTATTCATAAAATTTGTATTCATGGCCATCCATATTCATATACAGGGTCAGCCATCTAACATTTTTTTTTTTGAACTAGTGGTTGTTTTGAGTGTGGTAACACTGATGTTGCATCTGATTTGACAGAAAGTTAGTTTTATCCTTCCGCTGAACGAAAATGGTTGTGTATACGATTGAGGAACGCGTTAAAATGGGCAGATGAGCGCTTGGCCGAAGACCCGGAATTTTACCATCATCATCTAAGTCAATAAACAAAATTGTCGTATTTGGGGGACGGAAAACCCGCACGTGATCGAAGAGAAGCCAATGCATCCTCAGAGAGTTACTGTTTGGTGCGGATTTCGGGCCGGCGGCATCATTGGCCCATTTTTCTTCGAAAATGCGGCAGGAGCCGCCGTTACGGTCAATGGCACGCTACCGCGCCATGTTAACGGATTGGTTCTTCCCGGAAATCGAAGAGGAGGACTTGTACAACATTTGGTGCCAGCAATACGGCGCTCCGTGCCACACAGCCAATGTTACGATCGATCTTGTGCGCACTGTTTTAAAAAAAAAAGTTACGTGGCGGACCCTGTACAAGTAAATCGTGCGTAAGTATGCTCACTATGCTGTATGCGCATGGCGGCTGATGGTGGATAGATTAGAAAGGTGTTGCTATCCAAAATACTTAGTGCTAAATCATCTAAACATATATATATTTGTCGCTTTGTAACACCTTAAAACGATATTTAATCGAGCTCCTTCTCCAAGTTATTCTAAGACTCCTCCGAACGGCCGATGAAATAAGCCTTTATTTCATGTCAGAAAAACATTTATTGGCATTCCCTGTCGAAGCGCGCCCGCAGTTAGAAAAATTAATTTATTGAAATATGCAGCCCTGAAAAATGGAACATATTAATGGAGCGTATTTTTGAGATTGATAATGATGTTCCATTCACAGATATTGTAACATTGGCGATCTCTGAAAATAAATTGATTTATTTATATCTTTTTACTGTGTTTCCTTCCATTTTCATATTCCATATTCCTTTGAATACTTTATCTCTTTTACTTTTAATTATAGGGATGGGCAGGACTTGTAGTAATGGTTGAAAACCGGCATGAAAATAAATGGATACATGTTAAATGTGACTGCCAAGAAAGTTACAATGTTGTATCTACAAGGGGTGAATTAAAAACGGTTGACTCAGTGCCACCTTTACAAAGGTTAATCTCTCTAATATTTTTATTTTAAATTTATCATCAAAATTTTTTTCACCTCCTTTCACTACCTTTAGGCAAGTCATTATCGTTTTAACACAACTAGAAGGCAGCGGTGGCTTTAGCATTGCTCATCGGCTAACACATCGACTTGCGAACTCTAGAGGGCTTCATGATTGGGGTCCGCCCGGAGCGACGCACTGCCCGCCAATAGAAAGCGTTCATGGATTGCATGCACCTCGTTTGATTACTTAACTTTTCACCGATCTAGTCATAATTTCAAAATACTGATAAACAAATACATATATACATAAGTACGAACATATACATATACATACATAACTAGAATTAAGTACTAAAAATTTGAATAATTTGTTTTCTAGTAATGTAAGACAAAAGTGAATAAATATAAATATAAATATAAATATAATTATATATATATATATATATATATATATATATATATATTGGTATAAGATTTACGCCGTCGTAATGACAAAGTCGGCTTAATGAGTGAGGGCTTGTCTTTTGCATCTTGACTAGCGTAGGTATCACTATAGCCGAGTGAACAATAACACGCAAGTATTTTCTTGCCGTAGCCGTCCGTTCTTCATTGCCATTAGGGGGAATGAAGTGAAACCAGTCCTTCTCCATTAAACTACGACAAACGGAGTAGAGGTGTTCCTTTTACTCTGCTCCAATCGACTCCCACTCGATGTGTAATGTGGACTCTTCCGATATTATCATCAAGCTTATTTTAATATTAATTATTATCTTTATTCTCCTTATAGTCTAAGAGCTGGCTACGGATAGGAAGGGGCCACTCAGTAAAGTGTTGTTTTTATTACTTAAGCCAGTGACAGAAAGTTATACGACTTTACTCGTCAGCTTGTAGATCGTATTTCCCGTCAGTTTCTTAACCCTTAAATGCATAAGTTATTCATTTCATAATTTTTAATTATAGATAAAGATTGCAGTTCACAAACTCATAGAAACATAATAAAAAGAGGATATAACTTAAATTCATTCTTTATCCTTAATAATAAGGGTTTATTGCCAAATGGCTACAGTGTTTTAAGGAACTTTTAATGAAGCTTTTGTCGGACTCAAGTTTTTGAATATTTTTTTTATTTAATCAGAACATTCTGCTTTTAGGAATTATTTTTAAATATTTGAGACAAAACAGTTCAGTTCACTTCAAGTGAAAGTTTTTGAAACAGTTTTTGTGTTTGTTAAACATAACGCAACGCCGCATTTTTCGCATTTTGTGCTGCTATATCCCGGGCGTGGTACATATTGTGTTGGTCTTTTCTTCTTTTCTGCTTAAAGGGCTGACTCAATGTTACTAGATCTCCCACATTTGGCGTAATATTGTCTTTACTCAAGTATTGGGCTACCTCTACTCGAAACTTCATTTGATTTAAAATTTTTGTATGGTTTTTCTGGCTCAGCACTCTTTTATACAATATATCAACCAAGCATTAACCATTTTCAAGTTAACCAAGTAGTAAGTGGTATTCTCATATCTCACTTTCTGCTTTTGATCAAAATCTTGTATCGGCCCATTAGACTGTCAAGCAGATCCACACTGCCCATATCACGGCTATATTGCCGTATTATATTTGGACATTTCACATCTATGGTTTTGTGTGGCTTTCGGTCATATCTTCTAACAAACACCTCAGGATGAGTTCCAACAAACATATTTATTAACTTTTCACATTACTGACGTTATGCCAACTCCATTTATTGTCGTCATATATTCATAACTTTCACCATGCTCTTCCTTTTTCATTGACGCTTCCGAGGGCAGTTTACAATTCGGACTTCTGTTTCCACGAAATGTTCCTAATGAAAAAATGCCCTCCTTTGCTTAATGAACCATAAGTGGAATGGAGGTGTAAAAGTTGTCGTGATACTGTCGATGATTATGTTTACGAGGAACTATTCGGGGCAAACGCAAAACTATGTTGGGTGTTGCTCCAAGATCAGGATCACTTTCTGGTCTAAACACATTATTTTCATCACAGGTAAGAAAATCCTGAAATGCCAGCTAAAACAAACAATTTGAACCCCCATTTGTGAGCTTTCATTGGAAAGCGCTTCTTCATGTGATGCTTAACTTTTGTTGAACACATTTGCTCATCAATAGACAGTTCTTTTTTCAAGGGAATGCCGCTGAAACTAGACAGCACATGATTTAAGATCGCCTCAATTTTTGTAACCTGTCATGTTCTGGTTGACCTCTTCCAACAAATGTTGTGTTGTCATAAAATGCATGATTTGTCGTAGTTTTCAAACTTATATTATATTTTTGATGTGAGGGAATCCGAGAGCATCACCCCATTACGATCTTAAATTGGGCGCATGTGCAAGGGACATATATAAAACGATTGCTATTGTTTTATATCGGAAGCTCAATATACACTTTGTTTTTCCGTTTTTTTTTTAATGCTGTATAAATTATGATCCTTTGCTGAACAAAATTAAATTTTTGTTCAATTGGTATTTAGGTTGAGAAACAGCATGAGAACAGGATGGCACGTCTTCGTTATCGATTCGAAAAGCGGATGGAGTAGGAATTGATTCTGTTTCGCCTTCGCCATCAAAATCTTGCAACAAATTCGGTACGAAGTCTGGATTTTCTAAGCTGTCGTCATCAAAATCACTTTCCTGATTTTCACTCTCTTTACTGTTATACTCTAATGCTTGATTTGATCGGCTTACTAATGTTGTAGCAACTGAAACTGTTACCTTGGCTTATCAAATTTTCTTCTCCAATTATTTATTACATAAACTCTTACCTTCTTTTAAGTTTTACGTGTACAGTATTCTCTCTTCCTTCTCCTGTGCATTTTCGTAATTCTTGTCAGACGAACAACGACAGCACTGCACTTTCTTTCACTTTGTATGTATTCAGAGAAGGAAGATAAACAAATGCAATTTCTTCGAAAAAAAAAAATACAATTGGCAGACAGTTGAAAATTTGCAATTCAAGCGAAAATATAAGAGAGTGGGAAAAAAATCGTCAGAAGTGTAGGTGAAAGGTTAAGAGCCATCAGAAGGCCCTCAAACTCAAATTCACATATTTAATCATCAAACCAAAATATGTAAAACTACTTGAATATCGTAGGAATGCTAGACGAAAGAAATACAGATCATCATAGCAGACTATGATAAAGCAACAAAGCGTCAGGATATCAAGTAAAATGAGATTGTCAATGTCGCCTTATACACAGAAAGGTAAGAAATGTACATATGAAACAAAGATGGATGAATGCATCCTTATCACTGGTAAGCACTTCGATGGTTTGGTGAGCTTAAGCTTTTGGGTATGCAGTTACATCCGCAGGTCTATACCCAATTTCTACTATTGCGTCCACATCCCTCACCCGTGAGCAACCCTTGTGCAAGATGCGGTAACCAATCCATGTGGAGCTTTGGGGTTCGGCTAATAAGAGAGGAGGTTTCAGTGGAGGCACTCTGACTTATTCTGTTTAAAGGTTGTCTGAAGTCTAAATGCCGTCTGATCGCCATATGACCAAGCATACCTTTTATAAGGGCCTGGAGCGTATTCATAAGCGTTGCCCCCGCCACGATGTGAAAATCGTGCCTGCCGACTTTAACGCCAGGGTGCGCAAAGAGGTATATTCGGCACAACTGTCGGAAAATTCAGACTTCACAATGAAACATCCCCTAATGTGTTGAAGCTGATCGACTTCGCCGGTGCTCGAAATATGGTTGTCTGTAGTACTGGGTTAAAGAAAATACATAAAGCTACTTGGCTGTTCCCTGATCCATAAACTCAAAACTAGATCGTGTTGTGATAGACGGAAGACATGTCTCCAGTGTTCTTGACGTGCCTGCGCTCCGAGGACCCTACATCGATTCGGATCACTATCTTATTACAAAAAAAGATACGCAGGAGGTGTCCTTTGTATCAAAGAACCCCCAACAAACACGAGGAATGTTCAGCGTCGAAAAGCTGCAATCACAACCGAATGTTGAACGGTTTTCTACTTGACTTGCACTACTGCTCTTTGAGAGCACACATCAGCCACTCGGTATACGGGAACCGTTGAACAGCATTTCAGGCTCTTTACGTACAGCTGCAAACAAAGCTATTGGTTTTCGTAAAGGTCACCAAAACAGCTGGTATAATGAAGATTACCATGTCGCAGTGGAGAGAAACCAGACTGTCTACCTCGCAACCTTGCGATCTTCAACTTCCCGAAGCAATTCAATGATGAAGCGTACAATACCTCCTTATCAAAGGATAAAATGTATGCCAAAAACTCCAAAGCCAATTTTGTTTATTTTATTTTTATTTTAACATAACTTCGGCAATTTCCCGATTTATTTTACTATAACCTTAACAAAATAACAATATTTTGTTGATATCGCTAACAGCTTAAAAAAATTCTTCGCTTAGTCAGCGATTTGTCAAATAGTTTACGGCGAAAATAAGTGCACCGAATATTAAAATCATTAGACTTATCGCTAAGTCATTTTACCGACCCTCACCTTTCCTTTTTTGAATCCAAATTTCTAAAGTATGTTCTGTTTTAGTTTAAAAATACCTCAATTTCAAATTTTATTGTTCCACGTTCCAGACAAATGATTTCAATTAAATTCTTCTTGTCCAAAGTGAAACTTCGCATAACGACTTTTGTAGAACAACACCACAAATGAAAAGTTTACTCATTTAATTTCACAAAATTTTCATTCCATTACTTTTCTAAAACGTGGATAAATAAAAAAATAAAACAAATTGTTATTTTATATTATTATATTCATATTTATTCTCCAATGTAAAAAAAAATTCAACCAAATGTTCAATGTATGGGGCATTATATAAGCAAATTATCAACGTCTTCTTTGTTGCATATACGAAGCACAGTATCTCCGTTAGTTTTCTGTACAAAAATGCCATTATGTCTGTAAAATATGTGCTCATATCCGTGTGTTTCAAGAGATTTGGCATATTGAAATAATTCATTAGTGTCTTCATCCATAAAGTCGCTGACTATTATTCCTTTAGGGCAAAGCTTTTCACTCTTATCCAGAAACATATATTTAATTTTTTGACTGGTGAATTTTACTACCAAATTGAATTTCTGTTGTGGAGTCCGAGTCTGTAGTAGTATTTTTCGCCCAAAAAAAGATACCGCTTCAATATCAGAATTCTGACATGGTAGCTCCATTATATTCGCTAGCATTAAGACAGTATCGATTATAGGAGTTTTTAAATCGGTTTTGGGAATTCCTTTTATTATAATTCCTTTCAATTGGAATGGCTGACAAAACAAATTACTATCTTGTTGATTTAGCGATATTGAACTATTTTCCAAATCCTGTAATTTTAACTCGGCCATCTTTAGTTCAGCTTTTATCATATCAACGTTTTCTGTGCTTGACAGGCTTAAATATATCCTATGGGATGATGGGTTAGGTTGGCGACATTGAGGGCACAAAAACGTAGTTAAACTGAAAAAAAAAATCATTATTACAAAGATATAAACACTTGCATATGTAAAATAATACAGAAATAATTATGAGATCATGCCTCTAATCAAGTACTGTTGAGCCCTAATTGCCAAGAGCATGAGCATGAGTAGCAACTCACAAAATAGCATTCTTCTTAACTTTGTAACGGTACTTCGGGTGGCCTTGAAGTTTCGTCATTTATGGGGCTCAATACGTTTTTTGATTTGCATACAGAAAATTCGTACACATTACCACCGCCTACATCTTTTTGGCGGTTCAGACTCGATGTTATGCAAAATATTTTTATTCATTTTTATAGACTCGATTCAAAGATCCTCCCAGCCAATGTTAATACCAGAAAATATCCATATCATGATAGGATTGCACGGAAATTTTGGAGAGCGAGGCGTTTTGGACAAAAATTTGGCTTTTTTCATTGCTTTGTTCCATACTTTTAATTTGGTTATGAAAAGTTTACAAATCTTTGAAATGCGCGAATCTAGAGAGCCTGAGAGTGTGAAATGTGGCATATTGTAGGTGTTTCATATAGAAATAAGAATCCAATAATGGCATCATAAATAGAATTCTCGTTGTAAAAACATTTCTATATATATTTTCATTGTTCATCGCTATTCAGTTCTTTTCGTGGAATCCTGAACATAAAAAGCCGTGAAACACGACGAGGTAAATAGAACGGCGTCGGAGAATTTTTCACACTATGAATTTAGATCATACGACACACAGTGGTTTGTACAAGCTAACGGGACAAGACCAGTAAAGCGCTCCGGATCTGGAATACCTGCAAAAGAGCTGTTGCACCAAAATGGAGCCTGCGTCTCCACATGGTCCAATGGCTTTACAAAAGTGCCGTTAGACCCTCACTTACATATAGAACACTAGTATGGGGGGCGACACTAAAGAAGAAGTGCTACATTAATCATCATCATTGACATTAGGACAATTAATATGCACGCTTTGTACTCGTATGAAGCAGCGTCAACAGTTAGTCGCTTAAAAAATTAGGTCCAATCCCCCAGCATTCAAAAAATTATACCAGAACTGGGGCTGAACGTAAAATACGACCGAGAAACGAAATCCTTCTGCCAGAGAAATGTCACCTACTCCTACCTCAGCAGAGTGGGAATGTGTGAAACTGGACCATCGGAAACAGTCAAGATATCCTTATCTATACTGATGGGTCTAAGTCCGAGGCAGGCTCTAGAGCAGTATTCTTCTGTGACCAATAACAAAGGAAACTTCCAACTCAATGACTTCAACTCTGTCTTCCAAGCAGAAATTGTGGGCATTACACAAGCTGCCAAATAGCCAGCCGCTTTAACAGAAAGATTCATCGGGATTTGGTAGACAGTCAAGTAGCAAAACAAAGTCCAAATGTGTAAGAACATGCGGAGAGGCAATTAACAGACTATCGCGGGAAAACACGGTGAATATCAATTGCGCAAAACTATTCTTCACCAGTCAAATATTTCGCCACAACAGGAACAGATAGCAATCATCTCAACTAAGCTCTCGGAACTTCTGATGAGTTACTATCGTTGTGTATGATCTGGCGTTGTCCTGACCGCACACATTTTTTCCCCGGTCGGCCAGAGCTGACAGTACAGATCGGAATTAGGAGTATGGCCATAGGGGAGCAGCTTATAGTCTATGATTCCTTGGCAATTCGGAATGTGGCAGCCTTACTTTTTCAAATGGTTCCAAACAGTTTTTTGGGCAATCGAATCCTTGGTCGCATAACGGTCAGGCTCGATGAAATTTATTCATCAAAATAATTTTAACGAAATCGATTGTGCATAATTCTCTGTTATAGTATCAGAACCATAAACACTGTTCACATTTTCAGATGCGTGACTTGGGTTTTCGCCTCTATCTAGAATTAATGTCATGATTAACACTTCTTCCGTTTGTCCTTCTAAGCACAGAATGTCATCTTTCTAACGCTATCTAGCTTAATTCAATCACATATACACATAGATCACTAAAGCCATCTATTGCAAAAATAATGTATTACTTTTTACTTAGCCTAATATATAGTTAAGCCCAGATTACAAGTTTATTCAGCAATAGGTTCAGTAATAAAAAAAAAATATACCTAGCTTATTATATTTAAATGTTTGTGGGTCGAATAATCTATGACATAATGTATTTTGAAAACAAGCCACCAGCTTAAGTACCGGGCTCTTGCGAGAAAGAGAGAGTTGAAAAATGAAGATGTTCGTTAGCTGAAATGGCCTTGGGCGAATCATTGAGATTTTAAGAATTTAGGGACGTTAAGAAGCGAAATATCTACAAAGTCCAAAGCTGTCACATGGCATGGATTTATGACGGAATAGTACACATAAGGAATGGTCCACAAGTTTTGTGGCCCCATGCTGCGCCCCAGCTTCCATGACAGTGCCTCAGCACACCTACCCACTCTGGGTAACCAATACCTCTACGATTTCACGGAGCTCCCCGCAGCATGACTCCCACCAATCGCCACCCTTACCACAACCAGATCCTCTTCTTCCTCCCGTGCAAGGGCTACCCAGCAGCTCCTAGTCCACCGCAGTCTGCAACTCCTGCTCTGGCTGGTGCCATTTTCGGACGTGCTCTGACCTGCGCACCATAAGTGACTGGATTGATACGTACGTTGCCCCATATTGTATTAGCCTGCCCCCACTACTTTATCTACAACATCGCCGCTAACCAGCACCAACGTGCGGTGTCTATCCCTATGGGTACTTCAGCAACAACACACTAAACCCACTCATCAGTCCCTCACCGCTCGTATTACGAACATTTCCGCTAGACACGACTGCTACATTTAACTTCAAGGGACTGCAGGGAAAGATCGATGAGATAATCGGGAATACCTGACAATTGCTGCGATCCAGGAAACGAAGTTGACCACCCGTTTGAATCTGCATTATCAACAAGTATCGCCTTATCGATGGCGACATCCTGTTGCAAGTTGGATACAGCCCTGATTTACATAGATGCGCTACTCAAATTCGAGCAGGCGGAACTGATAGATAATAAGGTTTATCATGGGCTACCAGAGCGTTCGTCAATCATCGGTAGAATTCCGAGGCGAGACATCTAAACTAAGGAAGTTTAAACAAGAGAATCCGCAGGGTGGGATCCTCTCCCCACTATTGTTTTATTTCTATATGTCCTATTTCCAGAAGGGGTTTCCTCGACGTCATCTGACGTCTGGCCAGTATATTGATGATCTTTGTTCGAAAGTGAACGGTTAACTCGCGGACCTGTCGCTTTTCTTCGCTGCACGACAGCTTAAAATTCAACCAACCAAACGCTCGAGTACGCATTTCATAAGCTTGCCGTTAGAAATAAAGGCTCGAAGTAGATGTGAAGGTCGATGGCGTAAAAATTCCGATCGCAAATAACCCAAAGATACTGGAGTCACATTAGACAGTCTGCACTGCTTCTTTCCGCTAGCTGGCAGCATCTGGAATAAAGACAGAGAAACCTTGCTAGCAACCTACAAAGCAATTGACCGGCCGGTTGTGGTTGTTGTCGCCGAGGTCATCTAGTGGGAGGTCGAGGAAACGTGCTGTTTCGACGGGATCGGACCAGAGGGAGACTGAGGTGGTTAGTGTCGTGCGGGCATACAGGATATGCTTGGATCGAGTCTGGAGAAGTAGGAGTTTAACCTGCTACAGTATCCAGATCTAAGTTGTGCGCAGGCTTCTCGAGCATGTTGTTTGCAATGGGTGGTACTGGTAAAACTTGACCCCGACACACCTAAGGTATGTCCTGCGCGCAAAGAATCCCTGCACGGCATTAAAACTCATCCAACCCTCCTCTTGTTAGACGACCTCAATGACTTAGACTGAACTAATCTGTTGGCAAACCGTTACAATAACAACAGCTGTCATAACAGAAATAGGTATTGTCAGCCATATTATTATATTTGCAACACATTGCAAAACGCTTATGAAAAGTATTAAATAAACAAATGGCATGGAAATCATGTATATACATATATGAAGACAATATTTTTGCATTATATCCAGGTACAAAACAAAGAAATTAAAAGCAGCTTGAGTAACGTTAACAATGGGCAGGGGCAAAGGAGATAGTACCCATAAATAAGGCAGAAGCTGTGTATATCTGCAAAAATACGAATGCAATCTGCAATACATCTTTAGTAAAACTAAACAAATATATCAAACTAAGACTTAAACTTAAAATCAGCGAACAAAAGAATGGCATAATGCGCTACCTTAACAACAAAGAAAAAGCACCTATATAATTTCGGAGCAAAATAAAATGAGAATTTCGATAAAACATTATGTGAAATAAGAGTTTTACTTAAAAATACTGTGCAAGGTGAAACCGGTATTGGTCCGGCCAATAGTTATTATCCGAAACGCGGCCGCGGGCCAGCAATATACAAAGGAGTTTCACTTAAGAATACTGTACAAGGTGAAGACGGTGTTAGCGATTTACTTTTATAGTTGAGCGTCAACATTTTTTTCTGCGTATTTATTGTTAATTTGTAGACTATTTGGAGTGGCAGCGCCTCCCTAGCCAAGTGTTGTTAGTGTTTTTATAAGTAAAATACAAGCAGGTTCTCTATATAAAAAAGTGTAGCTTTAAATGTTTATAACTTTTCCACTATAAATTTGAGCGCAAAAAAATTTATATCTTTTGTTACTGTTGACCTCCTAATACCATTTCTGATTCATAAAGATAAACAACAGGCTACATACTAAAGTTTTCCCAAAATGAGCATGGCTCTAGGGTGGGAAGAAGGAAGAAATGAACTCCGGTTACAATGAACTTGCCTTGATAGTAGGTTATAACGAACTACTGCATTAAAACGTAAGTCGAGGAAGAACAAGGAAACTTAATTAGTTCAAATTCATTTCTTTGGTATCACAATCCGCAAATAAATTATATTTTTTGTATTTCATTTGGAAGTCATAAGCTTCTTCATTTTTAAATCTTGCTCCCTTTCTGGGATTCCCTCAATTGCATATTAAACAAAAAAAATTGTTGACATATAACCCACCGATGCAAAAAAAAAATATACTTGAATAGCTCTTATACCATTTTTTGCATTCATCCAAACATTTCTTGTGAAATATATGGCCACAATTAGTACTGTGCACATCTTCCGAACTCGTTAAATCTTCTAAGCAAATACAACATTCCAAAAACGACATTTTTTCATCAAACAAAATCACTTGCTCGTTAGGATTGTTAGGAAACTATCGATTTTAAATTACTAATGATTTAGATACAGTGGCCCCTAATCAAAGATATCAAATACAAATATAGCGATTAGACTAAGATTACACGGGGAAATTCTTGTTGACAAACTCTTAGGCCCGTATTCACAATATTCGATTAACTTGACCATTAACCGAAGGATAGCTAACCGCCAGATAGGCTGACATGACACTTTCGCTTTCACTAAATTCTGGTTTCTTACCTTCTGGTTAGTTTGATCATTGTGAATATTTTAAGGTAAGTTCACAAACACTTTCCCTGTGAACGGATGAAAACTGCTTATGTTTCTTACATTATAGTGTGCAATTTTTTACATTTATACGTTGTACGTTTTAAATTATTCTAATGAAAATAAAAAAACAAAAAACGGCTTTCAAATTTTTCAAACACTGAAGAAATTATTTCAATAACATTGAAAGAGCGGTACTCCAATGTAATCGAAAATATAAAGTCTGACTGGGATATCATTGATGTTGAATTTTAGGTTCAAATGAGAATACGGAGGGGGCCCAAAAACTTGAGAGAAAAATACATAAATTAGAAGAGGAAGGCTGACTCAATAACCACCGTCACTCTGAAGAATAATTGTGCTGCTATAGCAATAGACACTTCATTCACCACCCGACTTGCAGTCGCCACTCTTAGTTTGTAGAAATCAGCAACACAAATCAAAGCAGCATTTCCGTTTGCCTATGCGCTTGATTCTTGCAAAATAAAAATAAAAATTATATATATTCACTCCAAATATTCACAAACCTTTCGGTGCGGCTTCTAATTTTATTTCCTATTTTTTCCAAAACGTATTTGGCACAAAGTTGAAAAACACGAGATCGAAAACAAAAATTTCTTCATCATATTTCTCAAAAAAAATTTATTTGCGTACGGCACATTCTTTCTCTATAAAAATGCCTCTGGATCAAAGCAACCAGAGAGGCAGTGCGTTCCATATTTTCCATAAGAAAACACCGTAATATTAATTTATTTATTATTTACAATTTCCAGCTGTCAAATTATCTTCTGGTTAAGAGCCAATCTCCACTCAGGGCCGTTTTCACCATCTCCGGTTAAGCACTTAATCATAACTTAATCTGCAGGTAGCATCAAATTCGTTTTCACAATGTCCGGTTAAGGCGCATCTGTAAATTAAGTTGCGGTTAACTTAACGCCAACATTGAGTGAACGTCAATACGTCTCGCATATCAATCACAACTGCCGCGTATGCTCAGGTAGGGAAAGCCAGCTCACCTCGCACGCTATTGCGAGATGGGCACGGAGGGTGGCGAAAGCGCAAGGCTTAGGAAGTTGAGCAATCATTCACTCAGTCGTGAAACTAGAACGAGCCGTCCGAAAGAGCCGTATGGCTTTTGCGGTTGAATACCTCATAATCTGAATATGGAAGTATCCCATGTCATCATTCGATCTGACATGATCACTAAAGAATAAAGCACAATTGAGGACTGTAACTGGTGAGGATAAGTTGTAAGAGCAGTGACGTGACCTTCTCGAGCTAAAAAGGAAGGATTTGTCTACAGTTATAGATCTTTTTACGGGACATATCATATTAGGCAGACACGCTGAGAGATCGGGCGTGCCATTTAATGATTCCTACGGAAGTTGCAGACAGGATGAAGCACCGTAAGCTTTAAAGTCCCTTCATTGCGAATGGAGGAGTAGGCTGAAGTCTCTAGGGGCGACAACCTTTGGAGACCTGAGCGAGATAGCGGGGGCTAAGATATGACAACTGCTTAGTTTTGCAAACTCCACGCACTGGTTCGATTAGCGGGTGGGGGTATTCTGGGATCCTCAGTGGTATCAGAATTGGTCCGTTTGGGGTCTAGGTGTGCTACTTCAACCAACCAACCAACCAATATTTCACATTAGGGAATTCGGCGATGTTTCACCAGTTCATAGTCGCCTAAATTGTAGATCTAGAATTATGGTGTATATAAGCATGAAAGTGTCATTTACGATTGGTTATAATGGATCATACAGTATTTTTTTCGAGCACGAGTGGTCCCGGAGGTTAGCGAAACGATCTGCCAGAGTCAGAAGCAAGTTTTGGGGGATATATTGATGGAGTTTGTGAAAAGAATTGAATTGGGCCATGTTTGGACGACAAAATCAACTGCAGAGATTTTCCTGAGAGCAACTTCATTGGGGAGAAGAGCATAAAAGAAGATATATATGCATGATTCGAAGGCAAAGATTTGCACAAGCCCAATCAACTCCTCCGCAAATTTGAACAAGGAAGAACCAACGTTGTGAAATGAGTGCAAGTAGCGGTTCTCCACACTCGACCTTAAGCGGGATTATTGGCAAATGGAAAAGTTGCAAATAAGATAAATTGAAGCATCCCTCAGTTTTTGGAAACTGTCTTTGGCAATTCACGGTAATGCTCTTACGCTCTTTCGACTTTCAGCAAAGCATTCACAAAAATTCTGTTTGTTGTACATCATGACTTGTCAGCAAAAAGTTCTGAAGAAAATTTGTAAAGTGATTTATATCTCTGTAGCAAAATATATTATGCAAATCGAATGAATTTGTATCGTGTGTAGGCTCCTTTAGTTACGTCGATTGTTATTCCAACGGCAACGATAATAACTGAAATGTTATTTCCGTCCCTAGTTTTATTTCTAGACCAGAAAATAAATAGGGGATTTCCCAACTAGTTTTGCCGGTGTGAAAAGTATTTAAGCCCCAGTTGCTTTCTAATCAAAAAATTATATCTCGTCGTATATATATGCATTGTAGATAAAATTAAAGATGCCGTGCTTGACATGTATAATCTGTTCAGAAGTTTATAAAAACTCAGATACATTATATTCCACATCTTGTGGACATATATTCCATTATTCGTGCATGCAACAATGGCGCAGCCGGTAATATGTTATTCAGTTTTGTTATTTATGAATAAATGTACAAACATAAATATCACGCAATTAAGTTGGTATATGTAAACCGGTGTATTTACGTTTGTATATAGACATTTCTTTAGATAAAACTCAAGCCATACAGATTGATAGTTATAGATGATGCAGTCTAAATTTTGGTTTTATTATTACGTTAATATGCTCCAATTTTTCGATAAATTAGGAAAGGGGTTGGTGAACGTGCTGGTCTGACTACAATCAACAAGTGTAAACAAAGAAATAAAACAGCATTAAGGCATAAAGGGACTTAAAAATGCTTTCTAGATCAATCAAATTTAAGCGAAATAGCCCAGTGAAATTTAAGTGTGCCAATACTTTTGTTTGGTGAAAATTTGTACTTTTTTCACTTATAATTAGTATTAATTTAACATAAAAAATAATCAAATGAATTGAAATCAAAATAGTTGAAAGTTTCTCCCTCTGTCTAGTATTTTTTTTCTTTCGGAATTAAAAATGTTTTCAGAAGTGGTCAAACAAAATTGTTAAAGTGAGCCTATATTTTATTTCATCACTGCACAATTGTACGCACAGTATGTCAATTCATTGTTTCCAAAATGAAAAAAATCAAACAAATTAATTTTTCAACTTGATTTTTATTAACTGAAACAATTTTCTTTTACTTCATTCGTTTAAATAATATTAGTCTGAGTAATCTTAATATTAATGCAAACAAATTCCAGAATTCAGGACATAAAAGTGAAAGACATAAAAATTCTAAAGGCAGCAATTATTTTGGTGTCAATAATTTTGTTTGTAAACAATTATTGCAAATATCATTAAAAGTGGGAAAATATAGCAGTGTTGGTACTAATATTTGTATCTGTAACAGCTCGAAGACGACGGATAACGTAGTTTAAGTCATAGTTTTCAGGTATTTTGTTTCACTCTTCCTGAATGACCTTAGTAAGAGCGTTTTTATTAGGTGGGTCCCGTTTGCCCACTCGCTTCTTTGAAAAAGCTCACTCATTTTCTATAGCGTTTAAGTCAGGACTCTGGGCAGGAGTGTCAATCACTTTACCGCAATTATATAGTAGCCAGTTTGTACTTCTATTTATGAGGGTTTTCAATGTCAGCAAATCCAAATTTTGACAATTTGTCCTTTAGAATGTCCAAATAAAACTCCTACGTCATTGAAAATTCGGAGCTCACCTAACACCTTCCGACGAAATGCAACCTTAAACCATTCCAGTAAGCTTACCAAATTTTACTCTTGGAATTATATTTTACTGTTTCAAAGCTGTGTTGGTTTTTTCCAAACTTTACTGGGTCCACCATGATAGTATAACATTGTTTTTGTCACGTCGCAAAACATAACGTCATCCCAGTATTCCGCAGTCCTGTAAACATTGGTAATAGAAAAGTTGAGCCGCTTCTCAATATTAACTACCAACAAAAATGGTTTCTTTCTAGCTATTCGCAAGGAGTACTTGTGTATTTTTAAGACTTCGGATTGTCTCGTGACTTACTGTTTTATGGCAATCATTATTAATATCTAACGCCAAATTTCTCTGGGTGGTTTGAGGATAATCACTGATCTGCTTTTAAATTTTTTAATGATCGCGTCATCGCGAATGATATTTGTTAAGAATTCTTAGATTAACAATACCAATTAAAAAAAAAAAAAGGAAAATAAAATACTTTCATTTATAACATAAAATTTGAAAAGGAATTTTTGTGATTTTTTCATTTTGCAAACAATTAATTGACATACTGTATGTACATCATAATGTTATAAACATGATGAAAGTAGTGTGAATTGGAATTTTCCTATGTTCATTTTATGGTACTCACGGAACAAGCACCTACAAATCTTAAGATACTTTCATAACGCAGAATTACTTTTGTGTAAAACTCTAATTCACATTTGGGGGCAGTAAAAACGGTTAAATTTCAATCCGTTCATTTATTCAGTTTATTTGTTCACCGTTTAAACTTTTTTTCAAGTATTTCAACAAAATTGGCAATTAATATTAAGTATATTAAAAAATAATCCTCCCTTTGCTTTTTGGTAATAAATTGAAGACTTTATTCACCCTAGTTAGAATTATTCCATTTTAATAAATATGCACCATTCTCCTTCTCTTGGCCAAAGCGGCCAAGAATTTACTCGTGATAAGACATGCTTATTGTAAGAGGCGACTAAAAGCTAATAGTTCTCGCGACAGTCGGATCTTTATAGCGTAATGCTTTTATCCGGTCAAGGGCTGTCACCTGAAAATTCGGGGAATATTTTGCGGTTACAACGACAACTACGACGAAAAACGTTCAAGCAAACAGAACTTGTCAGGGATGTTTTAGGAACCGACGCTTATTTATCGGAAATTAAAATCAATACCCGTTTGAAATGGTGTTATGAAACCGACTTGATTTTGCTTTTTTCGAAGATAAACAAAACCGACATTCGTTTAGTATCGCTAATAGCATTGTCTGGATCGGGAAGGATATCCCCGAGCCGTTCAATATCACACGAGGTTTCAGAGAGGGTGATTCCTTGTTGTATGATTATTTTTAACTTATCGCTGGAAAAATAAATACGATCCGCCAAGCTGAAAAGAGAGGCTACAATCTTCTATAAGAGTGTACAACTGCTGGCGACTTGATTCCCACGCCACTTTTTATAGTCATATAGTCGAGGTCGCAGATAATTTTGTTTATCGAGGGACCACAACAACACCAACAATAATGTCTGCCTTGAAATCCAGCGCAGAATCACTCTTGCCAACAGGCGGTACTTTGGACTGAGTGGGCAATTGAAAAGTAAAGTCCTCTCCCGACGAACGAAAACCAAGCTCTACAAGTTCCTCATTGTTTCCGTTCTGCTATTTGGTGGGGAAGCATGGACGATAACAACACCCGATGAGTCGGCGTTAGGAGTTTTCGAGAGAAAGGTTTTGCGTAAGATTTATGGTCCTATGGTACGAGTTATACGGCGACATTGTATAGTTCAGCGAATCAAAAAGCAGCGGCTATGCTGGCTAGTTTATGAGGTCCGGATGGATGCGAATACTCCAGCTTTGACAGTTTTCGATGCAGTACCCGCCGGTGGAAGCAGAGGAAGAGGAAGACCTCCACTTCGTTGGAAAGACCAGGTAGAGGACCTGGCTGTACTTTGTATTTCCAATTGACTCCAAAGAGCGAAAAGTTGGATCGAATGGCACAATATTGTTAACTCGACTCTAGCGGTGTCTACGCCAGTAAAGTAAGTAAGTAGTCCCTGCTCCATTTCCGGAGATAAGAGTAGATTTCCTGTTAATCTATGCAAAAATCCACGTATGTTCCCAATTTCAAAATAATCGAACCAAAAATAAGATTTTTTTCGAATAGGTAGAAACAATCTGACGAGTGAATCGCTTTTAAAAATAAGCGAATCACATCATGTTTGTATTTGCAAAGGGAAAGAAAATGGTTGAACAATCGGTGAAGCCTTAAATATAAATTTTTTAAAAGATATAAATATTTATTGTATTGTAATTTTATTCAAAATGTTATTATTATTTTATTTTATTTATTTTTTTAGGACGTCAACCTGTCCGCAATGTAGAGAAATGAATCCGGATGTTCATAGAATATATTTGGATTTCGATGAAACGGAAAACGAAGTCAAATTAAATGAAATGAAAGCAGAGTTCGAATTGACGGAGAAATCAAGAAGTGAAATACAAATGCATTTAGATGAAACTGAAAGGAATTTTCTAAACCTACAAAATATGCTTTCTGAAGCTGAGGAAAAAATACTTGATCTCCAAACTTCAAATGACTGTTTAAAAGTGCAGAATGACAGCAGAGAACAATTAATTCAACAAACAGTAGTTGAATATAACATAAAGACGGCAGAAGAAACGGAATTGTTAACCGTTAAAATAAGTAGCTTGGAAGATAGAATTACGGAAGTATTGTTGGAAAAGGAACATAAATTTGAAGAATGCTTGAAATTTAGTCAAGAAAATAATAAGTTGCGCGAGCTATTGAATCGGAACGAAAAACTTTATGAAATTAGTCGCAAACAGTTTGAAGCAGTAGAATTGGGACTTCGAGTACAAATAGAGCATTTGAATAAAGAAATAACTGCAAAAAATACTTTAATAGAAGAACAGATGAAGATGAATGACGAATTTCGGAGCGATGATAAAAATTCACCAAAATATTCAGATTATCATGAAATTCAAGAAAATAGCATTAAATCATCCGAAATGATGCTGCATAAGTTAAAATTAGAGATGGAGCTAGATAAAAGTTTGGATAAAATATTAGAATTGGAGGAGAACCATAGAAGAGATATGGATATCTTAAATTTTGAAATTGAAAGCTTAAAAGCGGATAATGAAAGGAAAGACAAGGAAATACAAAATAGAAAGGAAGAACATGCTAAAATTATAAATAACCTTAGTTCGTTATGCAACAGAACAGCAGAAATTTCACTTCGTCAGCGAAACCAAGCCTTAAGTAAAAAATTGGAAGATGCGCACTGTAAACTTGAAAATGCAATTAAACGTATAGCAGAGAAGGATATCGCAATTTTGAAGTTAACACAATCAAAAAATGCGCTTGTTAGGAAACTGGAAGAGGAAAATTTCAGTGCAGAAAATAAACTCAAAAACGATGCTCACGTAGATGCAAAAGTGTTACCATCAATTGGTTCCGGACAACGTCAGAATATTACTGTGGCGAATAACGTTAAGTCAAAAGTTGGCGATACCACAAGTGTAGTAATTAAAGGAATACCTGAAAGTGATATTAAAACTCCTTTGATTGACACAATTTTAATGTATACGGAAATTATGAATATTCCTTGCTCAAATGTGGATATTACAGATGTATTTAGACTGAACAAGAATTTTAAACACAAAAATACTTCTTTAGTCGTTACGTTTTCAACTCTTAATATGAAAGTTAAATTTTTGGATCAGAAAGATAAACTGAAACTGAAAGGGATTCAGGCTTCAGGATATGTAGATACTGAAACAAACCAGATTTTCCATTACGCCAAGGTTTTAAAGACCGTTGGATATCAACAAGTTTTTTGTAAAAATAACACCGTGTTTGTTAAGCGCAATTTTAAAGCGCCTGCCATAGAAATTAAAAGTAAAGAAGCAGTGGACAACATGATGAAAAATTCCAATGATAATAAAAACGATAAAAATAAAAATGGTGAAAAAATATTAAAAGAGCCACAATATATTAACAAACTAGAGGATATTGGGGCTGAAGAATGTGATGATGAATTTTACCGAAAAAGATTGTAAGCGCATGTTAATACAAACATGCACACTTCTATAGATATGTCTGTGCATGCAAATGTTAGTTTCTAATACTGACATCTGTGATATGTATTAACATTGTTTTTTTTTTTTTTTGAAATTTAATAAAATGTGCCAAAATTCAAACAGACAATACTTCCCCTTATAATATATGTACATATGTGAAATTTTTACGTCAACATTCACATGTATATAAAATATGTAAAAAATAATTTGAATATTTTTAAAAGACATTTTGTTCGATTACTGTTAAAATATACATTCTTAACATGATTCCATAATGAAAAGGTTTGTAAATAAACAGTTTTCTCACTCCCTCTTGTCAAAAAGGCTGCCTTACTGAACAACATGAACGCTTCTCTGTAGAAAAAAAAAACTTTTTTTTTCAGAATAAATTTTTAAAAAGTTGCTAAATAATTTATTTTTTATAAAAACATGGTAGATATCACATAGGGCGAGCTCCAAGAAGTCAATTGCAAAGCAACCATACATTGTCACGCTTTCAGAAATGCAACGATGTATCATGTTCCAAAATGCATTGGTAAAGTTATTGATGCGCAAACCAAAGCAAACTGCGATCGCTAAGGTTTGTTATGCTTTATTTTATCATAAATTCTTAGGAGGGCCAGTTTTTTGCGCTATTTAATTTTTTAAACATTATATTACTTAATTTTTTGATCTATTTTTATATTTTAGTCATTTCACCGAAAAGCAACTTATTTGCACGATGTCAGAGTTTGCAAAGTATTGTTGCAAGGCAAATTTATAGAATGCAGGGTTGCACTGTAATGATGCGTTTCAAACGATTGTACGATTTGCTGACCAATGGAGGGAAGGGGGAACCACAGCTTAAACAAACGACAAAATTTACGAAAAGCACAAAGAAGAATGACAAAAGAAATCAATTCGTTATAGCAAATAATTTGATTAAATGAGTTGCAAAGTGGAATGTATCACAAACTTTACCAAATCAAAACCATGTTTTGGTTTCCACTTTCAAAACTACGCAGCATAACTCTTCGAACTGTAGAGGAGCTCCAAACGAAATAATCGTGCCGCGCTCCTGGGCTATTAGAATTCACCGCCAAAATCTTAATATAATATACAAATACAATATAACGAACTGTGTTAATGCAAAAACAATTTAAAAAACTTTACTCTTACATTTCGCACATTGATAGGGTCCGTGGTGATAGACAGAGGTTTCATAATGATTTATATGACTTATTATTGATACATGTTTGCAATCTATAGCCCCATTGCTGATGCAAAAAAAACCTTTGCAGCTTGCCGCTCTATTTGGGTGATGGGAAATCTAACCTTCGCAGATAACATCGAGCTGTTACGGGATGTTTAGGTGGGTTCACCAATACACTCATACAATTTTCGACAGCACTAACACACAAGCAAGTTGTTTTTTTCTGTTCTGAGTACATACAAATTGAAAGAGAATGCAGTTGAACGGATTATCCGTTTTATTTTATGTCCTTATTTTCGAGTAGAAAGCCATTATTATCGTTTTCTTCATATTTTGTAAGATGTTTCGGTATAAATAATTAACAAATACAAATACATAATTTTAAATGAACAAAACAAGACGAATTAATAAAAGTGAGAGCAGGAGAACAAAAACAACAATTACCGTGTATTTTGTTTTTGTTTTCATACAATTCGCCTTTGTCAAATTAAATTAATAATTCAAAACAAGTCAGAAGAGAAGTAAAGAAAAAAAAAAGAATATTGATCGTTAGCTTAAAAATCAAAGTTCTTGTAACGCTATGCAGACAGTTGCAATCTAATAATAATAATAATATTGTAAGAATATATTTCATTTTACCATAGTTTAAACAAACTTTTCTTGTTTGACTAGTCCATAACCCTCAATAACAGGGAAATACTTTGAACTAAATTTTTTTAGGTATTTCTAGTATTCAATTATTTTATTTGTTTTTCTGTCCCAATCTCTTTGAATTAGTATTGAGTAACAAAATACATACATATATAAATTCTACAATAAAGGGAAATGATATCTTTTAATTTCTTCAAATAAAACGTTATTTGTCTTTGAATATGTAAGGATTTACAATTGTTGTTGAATTATTTAAGTTATTGGTTCGATTGTTTCTGATTTGTACATAATCCATTTAATGGAGTTTTAGCGAGCGAATTACTAAATAACATTCTACGTAGATACATACATGTTTTATTTTAATTTTTAGATCTAAATATGCATGTGTAAAAAATAACGAATAATCAAAACGAAGCTAGCGGTACCCTTTAAAGTATATATAATATATGTTACCTGTTGACCTAAACAGGGTTAGGTCGCCGAAAGGTTGACATCCCTCCGGTGCGTAGAACCGGCTGTCTTGAAAGTTGATATGTTCGTTTCAGACGCTGTAAATATATAAGAAAATAAAAAATAATTAATGAATCCTTTTTGAATGACAGTTTAATCATAACTAAAAATTAAATATATACAAATACTTACTGGGTTTAATCAGAGATTGATTTTTACAAATTTCTTATAAAGTCCGCTGTCTGTGTTGGCCTGTACAGATCGAAACCTAGCGAATAACAGCGTCTTATGGCATTGGCAGTTGAATTCGGAAATAGTTGCGCAGCTAGTTTTACTTTTTGTTGTCCTACGAAATTTTTTTATATTGTAAATGAAAAACATGCAAATTTACATACCTATTCCTTTCACCGATATGTGGTCGTCAGTAAGTTTAAGCACAATAGAAGCATCCTATTTTGTTGTGCCCAAAGGTCAGAAAGTGTTCTAGTTGTTAAAAGCTGGCCTTGCCATATTAAGCCTGAGTCCAAGAAATGATTTCGAATAAGCTTCAAAAGATGCGGGAAATCAGCAAAGGCAAAATTTTTAAAATTTCATTGGAAGGGTTGGGGAACCATCCCTGCAAGAAGGCTTCCGATTATTTGAGCCAACTTGTGTCAGGAATGCATGACGACACATCCCGTCAGCTCGTAGAACGATTTTTCTATCACTTTCTTAAGGCCGACATGACAAACGTGTTGTTTACATTTGTATACGTGTACATCATTCTCTTCGTTTCCTTGTGCATTTTTGTCATTCTTGTCTGACAAACCGAACACAGCTGAGCGGCAGCTTTGATACCAAAAGAAATCAGCTTTGACAAACAATTTTCCCACATATAATATATATGTACATACATACGCTTTGAAAAAATTTTTCCTACATATATACATACATACATACATTATTAAGATTCAGTCTTTATTTCAATATTTAACATAAATTATGTGCATAGTTAACATAGCATACCAAAGAAATATCAATAAAATAATAAATTCGTTTTCAAAAGTAAGCAAAATGTTATAAGAAGTCTTTAATATTAACGCAGTTCCAGCTCCCCGAGCGCCTCCGTCATAATCGCAGCTCCTTTGAAGTATAAAGACATCTAAGTAAAATTAAAAAATCATTTTCGAATCATAATGTTATTAATATTTTAATGCAGTTGTACCTCGTAAAGTTTTGTTGAATATTTTACAGATGAGCTGCTACTGCAAGATGAGAAGCGTCCCTTCAACTTAGCCTGTATATTTTTTATTTCTACCTGCTGCGGAGAAAACAGTAAAAATGGCGTTCTACTCGAAAATTAGAACAAAGAAAATCGAATAATCCATTCATCTGCATTCTTCTTCAATCTGTATGTACTCAGAAGAGAGAGATAAACAAAAAAAAATGTGCATATGTGTTGGTTCTGCCTGAAATCGTGTGAGTGTATTAGTGAACCCATCAGCCCGTTCTTGCAGGGTAGCCGTTCGGGAGCCTAAACTGTAGGTCTTTCCATTTGTTGGAAAACCCTCAAGTATCTTATATATTTTAATAAAATTGGCAAATATATGACATTTTTAATTATTATTTACATTAAAGATTTATTGGGTTTCAGCAGATATAAAGATTAAAAAATAATGTATTCGAATTCTATGTCTTCAGCATTTCCAACTTAATTCCCAAAGTACGAGTACTTTAACTATTTAATTGAATCGTTGCTATCATTAAATTCAATTTAACCAATTTATATTTCGTCCCCTAATTTGTTAGTATATTTTGCTGAATCAACCTCGATGATTTTCTGAATTCTTCGGGTACGATCTCTGGATTGTTAAATAAAAAATCGCCAACTTAATTTGCAGTTTCTTTCGTTATAAAGAATTTATCTAATGTCCTTTATTTACTCCGTAATTCACAATTCAATTACAATACACTCTACTATTTACAATCACTTGTATAAAACTTTCACAATTTCATTTACTTAAATGTAATCTCCAACGCGTTTACTTTATGACTCTATACTGATGTTGACGCCAACGAGTTCACTTTGTAACTAACTTGACTTCGCCTCGCATTTTCGCAACAATATAAATAAATGTGTTTAGAAAAACAAACTCAACAATAAAGAAAAAAATTCAAAACTTGTTTTGGCATTCATTAATGTTTTTATTCGTATGGAACAAATTACCAACCATCCATTCGCTGGAAGAGGATAGCTATATATTTTTTTAATTACGTGTATGAATAAGTGTAACAGGTATGTATAATCACACATACAGGGGAAAGTGGGTAGAATCTGCACGGCATGTCAGAAAATGCCTCTACTGTTACCCAGTTTCTAATCAAATTTGGTTTGGCAGGGTTATTCTTATTTTTTGTTACTTCTTTTTCATATTATTATAAGAATTAAATAGATCCGAGTATGTAATATAAGTATATCGGAATTGAAAATCAATATCTGTTTGAAATGGTGTTATGAAATCGACTTGATTTTGCTTTTTTCGAAGATAAGCAAAACCGATATTCGAATCAGCTGTCATGATATTTGTGCGAAAAACCCAGCAATTCAATTTAATTTTTGTACTGGTACTAACACATTTTCTTCGGCAGTGATAGCATTTTTGATGATAAGGTAGTCGATGTAACTGCAGTTTGCAAATTTGTTTGTATGCATTTAGATTCTTAGACTAATGTCGTGGTTAACATAGAAGCCTTTGTAATAGTGCTGGATGTCATTGAGGAACATATATCATATCATAAAAAACCATCAGCCGTTAGGAGGTGGTCTTAGTAAAAACTGTAGGTCCCTCTATTTGTTGGAAAAACATCAAGACGCAAAAACCACAAAATGGCAAAGCATTAAAAATTTCTTATACAAGACCTCATTTCAGTAATTTTATGACTAATGTTACCTGGGTTAGGTGGCCGAAAGGGTGACAGCCCTTGGCCGGATAAAATCCGGGTCAACTCCGGTGCGTAGAACCGGCTGTCGTGAGAGTTGACACAACTCAGGTCTGGATACTGTAGCAAGTTAAACTTCTACTTATCCAGACTAGACCCCGGCATACCCAACGTATGCCCAGCATGTGGAGAGTCTTCGCACGACACTAACCACCTCTTCACATGCCCTCTCAAACCAACTCATCTAACCCCCCTCTCCCTTTGGTCCAAACCCGTCGAAACAGCTCGTTTCCTGGGCCTTCCATTAGATGACCTCGGCGACTTAGATTGATCAAACCTGTGCCTAAGCGGGGTTAGCGAACGGCTACAGCAACCAGCGAACCAGCCGTTCAAAGGAGAGTCCTATCGGCCGATAACTGTCCTCTCCCCAGATGCGAAGACACTTGAGGCCTTACTGCTCCCGACCTTCACTCACCATCTGCGTCCAGCAGCGCATCAGCATGGCTTCCGAAAAGTGCACAGCACCACAACAGCACTTAACGCCATAAACACCCAGATAGTCCATAGCCTCAACCAAAACCGACCCTGCGCGCGAACTGTCCTAGTAGCACTGGACTTGTCAAAAGCTTTTGACACAGTCAATCACTCAGTGCTACTAACGGACATTGAGGAATCCTCATTACCACCGGGGTTACAGAGGTGGGCCATGGGCTACCTGAGTGGTCGACAAGCATCGGTAATATTCCGAGGTGTAACATCTAATCCCAGAAAAATTAAACAGGGGGTTCCGCAGGGTGGTGTCCTCTCCCCGCTACCGTTTAATTTTTACATATCGAAACTCCCTCCACCACCAGAAGGAGTTTCCCTAACCTCGTATGCCGATGACTGTACGATAATGGCGTCCGGCCAGGATATTGATGACCTCTGAAAGTAAACGGCTACCTCGCTGATCTCTCCCACTTCTTCACTGCAAGACAACTACGAATTCAACCGACAAAATCCTCGGCTACCCTTTTTCACCAGCTGGACGAAGGAGTACAGGCTTGAACTGGATGTAAAGGTCGATGACGAAAAAATTCCGACGATAAATAACCCAAAAATATTGGGAATAACTTTAGACAGCCTGCACTCCTTCACTCCGCATACGACCGCAATTGCCGCAAAACTCCAGAGCCGCAACAAAATACTCAAAGCGCTAGCCGGCAGCACCTGGGGTAAAGATAAAGAAACTTTGCTGGCTACTTACAAAGCAATTGGCCGGCCGGTCGTAAACTATGCTGCTCCGATCTGGACGCCGGGGACGAACGGGACGCAGATGAAGAAGCTACAGGCTTGCCAAAACACCGCCCTCAGGACTGCGACAGGAAACCTCCTGATGTCGCCGGAGCATCACTTGCACAGGGAAGCATCTATGCTACGAGTTAAGGAGCATAATGCTTTGCTGTGCAAGCAGTTCCTACTGGGATGCTACCGCAGGGAGCACCCCAGTAGGCACTTAATAGAAGCTGAACCTCCATCTAGGCACATCAGGAAGGGAGTACTAGATTTAAAGGACACAATCCAGCAACATGTGCAACAACCGCTGGACTGGACGGCGTACAGACAAGCATTGAACGCCATTCACCAGGAGTCAGTCAACACCTTCAAGGACTCCCTTCCAGTGAATGACATGCTCGGAGAAAAATCACCACCTATAGCAGACAACGAGCTCGAGCTGCCTCGAGAGACCCGCGTGACCCTGACACAACTCAGGTCTGGATATTGTAGCAGGTTAAACTCCTACCTATCCAGGCTAGACCCCAGCATACCTAACGTATGCCCTGCATGTGGAGAGTCCCCGCACGACACTAACCACCTTTTCATATGCCCCCTCAAACCCACTCATCTAAACCCATTTTCCTTTGGTCCAACCCCGTCGAAACAGCTCGTTTCCTGGACCTACCACTAGATGACCTCGGCGACTTAGACTGTACAAACTTGTGCCTAAGCGGGGTTAGCGAACCGCTACAACAACAAAAACAACAACAGTAATTTTATGAATACTTAAAAAACACACAATTTATACACTTTATTTAAATGCTTACACATGCCTTATTGAAAATAGATAAGAAAGAGATGAACTCACAACTACAGTAAGTATAGTTTTTTTCCAACGTATGTACATTGTAAAGGAAAGTATTTCGATTTATAGGGGATATTGGCGACCGCGGTAGCCGAGTGTTTAGCATTGCGTTTTGGCATTCGGAAGGCTCGGATGCAAACCCTGGCGCCGAACTAACATCCAAAAAGTTATAGAAAATTAATTTAAATAATGAATTAAAGTCGCCCCTCGGCAGGAAATGTCCACCCTTCCGAGTGTATTTTTGCCATTGCGGCCGAAATTGTGATTTGTTGAGTTAAAAATGAAATTGAATCAAATTTTCTATAATTAAGTTTTTGTGCAACAATCAAGAAAGGATTAGGAACTCAGGCGTGTTATTCGCTAACATCTTCCAAAAATGTAACTCTTATTATCTATTTTCATTAAAACGGCAGCACTGTTTATTATGCATTCTTAGAGCGAATTGGCATATACACTTTTAAATGTATTACACCAAGACGAATTCTCTTATGTGGATATATGTGTAAACATTTACGTATTTATGTGGGCAACTTGCAACGAAGCCGTACGAGTATAAGTAATAGTTGAAAAGTGATATTTACAGTTTATAATATGCGTTGAAGTTTTTTCCAGCATCGTGTACAGTGCTTTACTTTCAAAACTTGCATATTGCTATCATAAAATTTCGTAAGTGAAGTTTTCTACATTTGTAAACAAAGACCCGGTAAACGAGAATTTCACCATAGACCGCATTTGAGCTATGTCTGATAAGTTAGTGAATGCAGTAGATACTAACATTAGCAGCGATTTGTAATATAAAGTTCTTTGTTATGTCATTTACCTGCTTACGGAAAACAATAAAGTGTGTATATCTTGCATACATAATATAATGAAAGTTTTATAAGTTAAAGTCCAAAGACATTAATGTATTAAAAAGTGTACATTAAGGAAAGTATAAGTTGCACACTTACATATGCATTCGTGCATAATTATCAAATAAAAGAATTCACCATACAGAGTATTTTGTTCGTATATGATTGTAATATAAATATAGTCTGAGGGTATTCACAAAAGCGTGATATTAAGACACAGTTTTAAGAATTATTGATTCGTAAACTGAGTTAAAATAAATTTAAAAAATGCATGATGGGTTATTTGAAGTTTAATTGTAGCCATATTATATTATTCGTAAAAGAATAAAAACATTTAAATTCACTAAACTTTACGTACAATATAAAACGTATTTCTCGAGCTCGAACAATTCTGAATGTTGTACAGTGTTGTCATCTCTACTTTATTTAGCTTGTTATAGGGGAAATCAAATTTTTTTCTAAATTGTTAACACAACATATACCATAACAGGTTCGGTTATTGCAAAGCCTCGTCCTTAGGGAGCTTTCATAACCCACGCACCGACCAAGAGGAAGAGGGCTTAATTAAAATGCTACGAAGGTTTTTCAGATGAAATGATTATTTAACAAAGTATGTTAACAGGTTTACTTAATAAACGATAAATTGACTGTATAAATGTTTATTAAATTTAAGATTTATTGAAATGTAGTTAATTGTATATTAATTAATTCATTTCATTTGAAATAAACTACTTTTAAATAAATATGTAGTAGAAAACGGGAAGTGTGAAATAGGAAAGATGCAAGGGACGCCAGTAGGCCTCAAATATGATCACGGTTTTATGGACAATCTCTTATTAGTAATTACAAATTATGAAACCTGATTTTGATTACGGTGGTTAAAAAGTTATAGAATATTAATTTAAGTAAAAAGTAAATTAAGTTAAATTTTCTATTTGCGGCCGCCCCTCGGCAGGGAATGTCAACCCCTCCGAGTGCTTTGGTGTATGTTGATAAAAATATATCTAATATATTTAATTTGAAAAATATAAATTATGACAGCTAAGAATGAAATACAGTGATACCTCGACATACGAGTTCCGCAACATTGCTCGCATCTTGAATTACAAGTATCTCGAAGCAAATTTCCCCATACAAATTGAACTACCATTAATCCGCTCCAAAATCCAAAATTTCACCCCAGTTATTTTTGTTACGTGGTTTTGAATAATAAAAACGTATTTATAAATATCAAATACTTATTGCACAGAAACAAAAAAGAGAATGTTAAGAAATAAAGTAGATATCCTCACTGGTCTTTGTCTTTTTCGCTGCATTTTTCTCGCTTTCACCTGTAGGCCGTTTAGAAAAAAAACATGTCTAAGGAGGTTTGTTTCTTCCTCCCTCTCAGAATGTTCCGGAAATGTCCTTAAAAAGGTGAGATTCATGACCTGTTGCAACTTTTTCTAGAAGTTTTTCTTCCACGAACTGTGAAACTCTCTCCCACATTCCTAAGATATCCTTCATCTAATTTGTAGAAATAACCTCATCCTCTGACTCCTCAAAACCAATTTCTTGCACAACCTCGGTATGCTGCTGTGACTGCAATTCTTGTATCTCCTCAGTCGTCAGTTCCTAGGTGTGCTCCTCGTTGAGATCGTTCCTCCTCTACTGAAACATCGGGTTCCAATTCTTCTTAGATCAAGTCAACAACTCGAACACCTTGATCATGCTTTTCTTTAATTTCACGTTTTAATTCAATACTCATCATCCTTTTCGTAGAACTTGACTTTTTCCAAACTTTCTTCCGATCCATGGTTATAAAAATAAATGAACTACAACTGTAAATGTAAACGCAACACAAAACGCGAACACAACTACACAACTTATTACAGCGGAAGCACGGTGATAGCGCGACTGCGTGTTCCTACCAAACGGAGCCGATTCGAACCGAACTCGCGAATTTCGCTCGTAACTAAAAGCAAAAAATCATTTGCTTGTCGTCGCGTATCTCGAAAAACTCTTATGTTGGGGCACTCGTATGTCGAGGTAACTGTTTCAATATAATATGCATTTAAATAAAAAATCTTAAGTTAATGTACAAATACAAACTACTTAAAAAAGTGATGCAAAAAATAAGGTAGCTTCACTCAAAACGTTTGTCAAAAATATTAGCCATCTGATATGAAAAGATTTTTTGACTATTTGCTTTATTTTTGTGGTACCGATTTGATTTTAAAAAAATAAGTTTTCATTTTTTAAAACTAAAATTAAACTAAAAATACATTACATAAAATGTAAAGTTCTGATATCTAATGGAAACTAAATAATTTTCAGGCTGCTTAGCATTTTTTTATAAAAAAATATGTGAAATATTTTTAAAGTGTCTTGTTGTTTAAATGAAAATTAAATATGCAATGTCAAAAAATCGTTTTCCATCAATTTTATATTGGGTGAAACTACCTTTCTTTCTTTGTATCATGTTATTACCTGTTTCTCTGTAGATATTATTATTGTGCCTTTTAGTTGGCCATCTAGTTGAGTTGCGTTCAAGTGGAAAGATGTTAACTTCCCGAAGCAAACTTACCTCCGCATCTTGGGATCAAAGATGTGCCATGTACTCAAAATCCATTTTTGATTATTATCTTCTTTTTCGTTTTATATTCATTATGTAATATCCCCATTTACTAAACTTAATAAAATATCAATATTTTGTCGACGGCGCCAAGAAGTGATTTGTCGACTAGCTTGCCACGAACAGCTAATTAAACGACAAAAGAGCTTAAAATTTTCGCAAAGTTATTTTAGCTACTCAAAAATCGTTAAAATGCTTGTAGCGAAAGCGAAATCGCTAAAACTAGCGTCAAGTAATTTTAACGATCAGAAAAATTTGAATACATTAGAAAATCCCGTCCCTAGATTGAACATTTTTTTTTAGCTCAGAGAATAAAATTGCATAAAAACATCTCTTTCCATTTGTGTAATAATTTTATGAAACAATTGCCAATAAGTCAAGAACTGACTTATTGGGGTATATATTATTGGATAAAAACCAAATATGAATACACCCCTATGTACACATTTTATTATATAACAAAATATGGCGAACGCATTTGGTGGTGAGTTACAAGAATCTCGGTGAAAATTTTTATGTTCAAGTAAAATGTCGACGGGATATATTTTTTTTTAGTGAGTTTTCAAAGACTGGAATTGATTTATATTTTTTTTTTGTATAAAAGTAAAAGTTGTAAGGTCTGGTTGTCATGGATGCAGGTGATCAGGAGCAGAATTTTCGGATGGGACCGCTATCGCCACAGGAGATTAAACCTGATATATCTATATTAAATGAAAACAATACTAGAGCATTTTCTCCTAAATCCGCCAGCCCTGTTTCCTTTGGATCGATTGGACTTCAATCCATGAATATGGCAAATGCAGCAGCAGTTGGGGTAGGTTCAAACCAGCTCCAACAGGGTGCACAACAACAGCAACAGCAGCAATATCCTCCAAATCACCCATTAAGCGGATCAAAACATTTGTGTTCCATATGCGGTGATAGAGCAAGTGGAAAACATTATGGTGTATACAGTTGCGAAGGTTGTAAAGGGTTTTTCAAACGAACAGTGAGAAAGGACTTAACTTATGCATGCCGAGAAGATAGAAACTGTATAATCGACAAAAGGCAACGGAATCGGTGCCAGTATTGTCGTTATCAGAAATGCCTTGCCTGCGGAATGAAACGTGAGGCAGTTCAAGAGGAAAGGCAGCGAGGGACTCGTTCCCAAAACGTTCGCTCTAGCGATGATTTCAATCCTAGTAGTTCCGTTCGCGATTTAAATATAGAGCGTATAATTGAAGCAGAGCAAAAAAGTGAACAACTTAGTGGAGATAATGCTATACCATTCCTTCGGGTTGGTCCCAATTCAATGGTACAACCTGATTATAAAGGAGCTGTTTCACATCTCTGTCAAATGGTAAATAAGCAACTTTACCAAATGGTTGAATATGCTCGAAAAATGCCTCACTTCGCTGAATTACAACGTGATGACCAGGTGCTTCTACTCAAGGCAGGTTGGAATGAGCTACTTATAGCAAATGTGGCATGGTGTAGTATTGATTCTTTAGACGCAGATTTTGCTACATCAGGAGGTCATGATACTTCATTCGGCCGTCGTTCTCCTATACGTCTACCCCAACAACTTTTTCTTAATCATAATTTTTCCTACCATCGTAATAGCGCAATAAAAGCAGGCGTGGCAACAATATTCGATCGTATTCTCTCTGAGCTTAGCGTTAAAATGAAACGGTTAAACATTGATCGTTCGGAATTGTCATGTTTAAAAGCTATTATTCTATTTAACCCTGATATACGTGGCTTAAAGGGACGTAATGATGTCGAAGTATGTAGGGAACAAGTCTACGCTTGCCTGGATGAGCATTGCCGTACTGAACATCCTGGGGATGACAGTCGATTTGCACAACTTTTACTGCGGTTGCCCGCACTGCGATCCATAAGCCTTAAGTGTTTGGATCATTTGTTTTTCTTTCGAATAATGGGAGATAAGCCTTTAGATCAGCTTTTCTACGAACAACTTGACACGCAAATGTGCTAAGCATTAATAACAGATTTCATCGCTTAAAGTGATTGACGAATTTCATCAATGTTTAAACAATTTTTAACTTTTAAGTGTGATTAATATGTCTTTTAACGCCTACATTTTTCAATTTACTTCTCTAATAGTATTTTATGTAATATTTACAATTTATTGTATGCAAATTAAAAATAAATCAACTGTATAATTTGAAAATAAATATATGTATTGTAATCTGTTAAAGAAGTGCATTATTTAATAACGGTATGTGCTCTATATACCATTTATGAGCTCACCATAAGGCATATATGGTAGCTGGCCTCACAGGAAGTTTTGAGACAGGATTTAAAGTTAAGTTTTATTGGATATTCCAACAAGACAAATGTCATGTTGCGAAGCCTACAATGGAATTTTTTGAATCCAGATTCTATAGCAGTCACCGGCTCTAAGTCCCGATATGAATCCGATAGAGGATTTGTTGAGAATTTTTCTGTCCGTACTAAAAAAAATAAATAAATCAATGCCACGCCGAATAAAACTAGAAAAAAACTAGTGGCAGACAAACGCGGTGGCTCCATTTCTTATTAAAAAAAAAAAATTCAACATGTGTATAGGTTTTCATTTGATTGCTGCATATAATTTAGGAAATATAGCTATATTATTTTAATTTCAAAAGTATTTAATTCGTGCTTAAAATGAATGAAATATTATATAATAAATCTCATGTAATATTTACTATTTCTCTTACTCTGTAACTCCTTTTTTTTTGCTACTTTTTCCCTGTTTTTTTTTTTTTTTTTGTTTTAATGGAACACATTTTCTCGTCCTTTTTACTACTTTCCAAAATGCAGCTATTTGTAAGGGAGTGCCAAAACTCCCTTGTCACTACTTATCCAAAATTTTAAACTTTCAAAATGGTGGTTAATTGTGTTCGCCAAAGCGGTTCGATATCGGATAAAACATATAGCGTTGGTGCATGCCCAGTATGTTTAGAGGAAAATTTTACCGCTGATTGTGTGCTCGATCAGCCATCAACATGAACTCGACACCGTTCGCAGAATTTAAACATAAACGTCACTTGCCAAAAGATGCGTGTTATTCCGAAAACGAAGAAGGAAGCTGCCCTTACCGCCAATGCCAATCGTTACCTTGCCATGCTCCAAGATTATGTGTGGTGTTGCTTTTGAGGGGCAATCGCAATTAGAAAAAAAAATATTTTCTATAAATTTAGATGCTTGTATAGGACTCGAATCCTCGCCTTCCGAATGTCAGTCCGCACAGCTAACCATTCAGGTATTGTGGCACACCAAATACCTTGATGAATTTCCTTATGCTGAAATCTAGTACCACAGATAAATACATTTTGGATCCCGGCGAAGTCGATCAGCATCTACACTTTTGAGGATGCTTCGTCGTGGAGGCGGAATTTTTTGACTGTTGTGGCTACTGTGGCTCTATTAGCTCTTATATATAATATAATACATGGCCGTATGGTACAACTAATGCAACACTTCGGTGAGAAGTGGAGCTGCCGATTGGCCACCAAGATAGTGTGACATCACATCGTTAGACTTTTTCCTGTAGGGATGTGTGAGGTCTAAGCCTATGCGGACAAAGCCGATTCGACTCAAACATTGAAGCAAAGCATCACGAATGTCACTCGCCAGTTATCAGTCGAAACTCTCGAATGTGTCATCGAAAGTTAAACTCTACGCGTGGACAATCTGAGAGACGTAGCCGCGGTCAACATGTGTTTTTTTCCTTTCAAATAGTAGGGGGCATCGAAATGGATCAACCTTTTCTATTCTTTTAGTCTAGTGGAATGTATATTTAGAGAGATGCCTTGTGACCAGTAAAAATTACTTAGCAAGTTGTATAATTAATAAAAGTTTATTTTGAATCCGTTTATTTATGCAGTACTTTGTTTCCTGCTAAGTGTTTTAAATTGGCAATTATATGTTCTTTTCAATTTATTAATTATAATCGAAATATTGTTATGAAAAAATTATGTAATTCTTAAGGCTTCAAAGCTGTGAAGTCAAACCATAAAAAAACCAGTAAATACGAGGGGCGGCTGACTTTTTCGCGACCTGAAGTACTTACTAAAACAAATGTATAGTTTTATGTTTTTTATTTTACAATATAGTCTGCGTCAAGGGAATTACACTTTTTACATTGTGAATACAATGCCTTTATGCCATTGAAAAAATATTCGTTTGATTTCTCCCCAAAATGTTCTTCTAATGCCGCTTTCATTTCACTGTCTTCTGAAAATCTTCGTTCCCTGCGGTAGCATCCCAGTAGGAACTGCTTGCACAGCAAAGCATTATGCTCCTTAACTCGTAGCATAGATGCTTCCCTGTGCAAGTGATGCTCCGGCGACATCAGGAGGTTTCCTGTCACAGTCCTGAGGGCGGTGTTTTGGCAAGCCTGTAGCTTCTTCATCTGCGTCCCGCTCGTCTCCGGCGTCCAGATCGGAGCAGCATAGTTTACGACCGGCCGGCCAATTGCTTTGTAAGTAGCCAGCAAAGTTTTCCTTTCGGAGACCTAACCCCGTTTAGGTCTACAGGTAACCTTAGTACTCCTCTGGTCATTCATTGCAGTTCCTTTTGGAAAGTAATCAATTAATAATATTCCCTCGCTATCCCAGAAAATGATAGCCATAATCTTTGACGCCGTCTTTGCCTTTTTTTTCCACTCCAAAAAATCTTTACAAGTCTCCAATTGTCGCTGCTTGTCGAGCAGCGTAAGCATTCGCCGTACCCAATGCGCTTCAATTTTTTTTATATTCAAATGCTCCCTCGCGGGTGGAGGGGTCATCTTCACAGGTCTCTCTTCCTTGTTGAAACAGCTGAGTACATTTTTTCTCCGTCTTATATGAAGAGAATTTACAGTTTCGGTTGACTTAGTTTTGTTGCTTGTTATTTTTCGAATTGCGGTCGCCCTCCTAGTGTATTTCGGTTTCATATCCGGAAAAGAACCTTGTAAAAATACATCGGAGATGATAAGAGGAGAAATAAAAACTGAAATATTATGTTTTTCTTTTTCAATATATTCACTTGAAGGACTGTTACATTTTTCAGATCTTTCAATTAATTTATTTAAAATATTGGAGCCCACTTTATTCAGAGCAGCCAACGCAAAGCGGCATTTATGGACGGTTGTGCTTACAAGTTTACGGAGGCGAGAGATTTCTCGGCACCAATTTTCCGCCAATTTTTTCCTGTAAAGATGAAAGGTTTAAAAATAGTTGTATCATTTATGCTTGAACCTTCCTCCCAAAACAAAAACGTCAAAATTACGCAGTCTATTGCAAATTTTACTCGCTGTCACTGCCTATCACCTGTTCACCGAACCGGACTTAAACCAGACGTATAAGACTATATTGTTTTAAAAAAAAAGTTTGTGTGCCCATCAGACTTTGCTTCAGTAATAGTTTTCCGTAAGCATCTTAGACAGACACTTAACATTTTTGATAAATATTGGCATTAAAATTCAGTTCTTATAAAAAAAAGTCAAATTACGCGTTATTGCGCAACAATGGATTTTTATGAGAAACTTTTTTTCATGTCAGAAATAGGCATCTAATATTGGGTGTAGTAAAGGGAAATCCTTTATTTTTGCTTGAAAATGAAAGCTTTAATTACCATAGTTAGAATAATCCGATTGAGGTGACATATGCGCCGTTTTGTTCGATAACTTTTTGCCATTTTGAAGGTTATTTCATTATGCCTCTCTCATAGAAGCCTTAGTTCCTATTGGCAGAAAATTTAGACAGTTGATTTTCACATGCCTCTCTTGAAGCGAAGTTTTCACCAACCAGGTCCGGACTATAAGAAGGATGTATAAGAACCTCCCAACCAAGCTCCCGGAGCTTCTGGCGAGTCACTATCGATATGTGTGGACTGGCGTTGTCCTGATGGAACACTCCATCTCCAATTGGCTTTTGCCGTATGAGAACAGCTCGTAGCAGATAATTCTCTACCAATCCCACCAATCACACAGCTAATCCTTCCTGACCGTAAATCCTGCCTTGGTCACCATTTCCGGCTCATCGCGTTTCGGCCACGACCGTTTTCGCTTGACGTTGTCGTAAGTGATCCACTTTTCACCGCCAGCCACTAACCACTTCAGAAATGTGTTGCGTTAACTCGTGTGGCACCCATACATCGATCTCCTTTTCGCATCCAGTGATATTCAAATGGTTCCAAACGCACTTTTTTGTAATCTTTAGTTCTTGGGCAACCAAAACAGTGTTTACACGACGGTCGGACTCGACAATGTCCATGATTTTATCGACATATTCTACAATTGATCTTCCACTCGTATTTTCTCTTTGCTGGTGTCCAGTTGTATCCAGTTGCGCGTCAGTTCGGACTTATACAACGCGAGATACAGACAAATAAAACCATATATTTAAAAAATAATGGATTGCTTTTTACTACTCCCAATATAAAGTGATGAATTCAGCCTCAAAAAAAATGGCGGAGTTTACTACTCAAAAATGATATGATAACTAAAAAAAGAATTAAGCCCGCACTAGCTTCTCCTTTTTTACTTTCATGTAGATAATCCCTAAAGAAGCCTATAATCATGGTCTTCCTACTCAGGATAATGGAATATTATTATTAAATTATTGTAATGCCATCGGTTCTTGATAAGACGGCCAAGTTTGAATTATATCTGACCGTTTAAATCACTTCCAAAGGAGTCGGTTGGAAACAAACAATAAAAAAGATGAACCTTCTTAAAAGTGGACAAAAAAAAATTAAAAAGTAAGAATAAAATATATATATGAGTATTTATTTTGTTTTATATTCGCAATTTTTATTTATTTTATTACTATGCTTGGTCCTGGTCGTCGATGGTTTTTACTGTACAAACGTCAGTAACGACATCGGAAAATAGTGGTAATGCTCTCATAAGGTAGCGTTGTGACGGCTGAGTTGCTATGTTTAGTCTATTAGCAAAAATACGTTGAGCATCTTGAGAGGACGATATTACCGTTAAACTCATTTGTTCTGCAACAGTGATTCCATCGTTTTCTTATCCGTTCTAAAGCGATTTGCCAAAACTTCACAGCATTTTGAAATACACTCGTCTCATTCATACATATATTGACCCTTATCTTTACAATTTCCTAATATTAAATATATGAATGTACGAGGTATGTTCAAAAAGTATCGCACATTTTGAATTTTCGCGGGTTACATATTATCGAATTTCAATTTTTTTGTGGCGTTGTGTTGGTACTCATGTCTGTCACTTATGCCGACAAGCTCGGCCATTTGAATGTTCACTTAATTGTTGACAGCTGCTTTGCTTGCACGTGTTTTGGATGGTCTTCGATTTTTATCTATTCAAAAAAATGGATCAAACAACCTGTATCAAATTTTGTGTGAAAAACGAAATTAAGGGCGCGGATGCATTCCAAATGTTGACTGTGGCATACGGAGAAGCTACCTTGGACCGAAGCAACCTTTATCGGTGATACAAAATGTTCTCAGAAGGCGGAGAAGATGTGAACAACGAAGAGCGTGCCGGACGCCCGAGTACTTCAACAACAGACGAAAAAATTAATTGCAGGGGCGTGGTGCATCATGAGATCTTGCCACAGGGTAGAACGGTCAATAAGGAATATTACCTGTAAGTTATGCGCAATTTGCGGAAGAAAAAAAATTGGCTTTTGCACCACGATAACACCCCTGTTCACACATCGTTGCTTGTGCGCGACTTTTTGGCCAAAAACAACACACTAATGATGCCGCAGCCACCGTATTCCCCAGATCTGCAGTGCAATTCTGTAACTTTTTGTCGCTTGCGCTAACGATTATGCGATTCTCTAACACAGTTGTTACGATAATCGACATCGCACATATCCATTTTATTAAAATGTAGGAAAGGTGGCACCACAGCTCAACGAAACGTCAAAATGTACGAAAAGCACAAAGAGGAATGACAAAAACAAATAAATTTGTTATTGAAATTATTTTAATTAAAAGAATAGCAATGCATTACAAAGTTTTTCAATAGCATGTTATGGTTTGCACTTTCTTGCATGACTCTTCGCTCTATAGGGGAGCTCCAAATAAAATAATTGTGCCGCGCTCTTGGGTACTTGGCATTTGCCAGTATAATCTTGCGATAAGGATCACATATCTATGTGAAAATATAATTAACTTTTACTACAATAGTAATCGGAAACAAATTTACTCTCACCATTTGCACATTGATGGAATGGTATCCATGGTGGTTTATATACGCTTCTTCATGATTTTTAACTCATGTGCAATCGATAGCTCCAATAGTGCCTCCAACATATGGTGACGATGACGAAGCAAATATTTGGAAAACTAACAGAAAACCTTGATCGGTTGATTGCGTCTGTTACGCGATGAACACAACGGTTTACTGACGACTGACTCATGGACATCCCCATTGCAAAAAATCGCGAGGCGGGTAGAACCTTTAAACATTATAATAGCGTTAAGACTAAAAAAAATATTGAAAATATATATTATTACCTGTTTCTCCGTAGACAATGCTGTTATTCTTCTTCCTTTTAGTTGACAATTTTGTCAGAAACGATTTCTTCAACTAAATCCGGCGAAACTCGGTAGCATCCAAATGAAAAGGATCTTCCGCTTCTCGACGCAAACTTCTATCCGATGGGTAGGATACCTCTTCATCTTGTGATAAATCCTATGCCAAATATTCAAAAGCCATTTATTTTATTATTTTATTTTTATTTTTGTATTACTTAGACACTTTACTCTCTTATATGAAATAACAAAATTTTGTCGATATCGCTAACAACTTAAAAATATTCGTCGCTTAGTTAGCGATTTTTCGAGTAGTTTACGACAACAGCGAGAGCGAATATCGTTAAAACAAGTACACCGAATATTAAAATCGTTAGAATTATCGCAAAGTCTTCTTTGCGATCCGAAAATCGTTATACCATTTTAGAGAATAGCGATTATCGTTAAAAATATCGCTAAGTCTAATTTGCGATCGGAAAATCGTTATACTGTGCTTAGAGAATAGCAAAATCGTTAAAATTATCGTTAAGTCATTATAACGATCCGAAAATCGTTATAATACGATAGAGAATTGCGCTGCTGGCTCCCTGTGCCTTTTTCTTGTTCCCTAAACTGAAGAGGCCCATGAAAGGACGACGTTACGCTATGATTGACGGGATAAAGACAGCATCGAAGGAGGAGCTAAACAAGAAGTGCTTGTTGAAGTGCTTCGAAGATTGGAGAAACGTTGGCACAAGTGCATAATATCTCATGGGGATTACTTTGAAGGGGACAAAATAGATATTCATGAATAAATAAATAATTTTGGAAAAAAACACAAAATTCGCGATATTTTTTGAACACACCTCGTACATATTTGGTTATTATATAAAAATGTGATTATAAAGGAAATATTAAAGGAAAACAATTTCGATGTGGTTCGGAACTACATAGTTTTATGTGGAAGCGTTTTACAAACCATAGTAATTTCATGTTCAAAAACAAAGTGAAGTTGAAATTATTATATAACACAAAAATGTCAAAGTGAATATTTTCAATTAACTTTCATTCAAAAGAGATATGTTTTCGTAGCCTATATATGTATTTAAAAATTCGATATGAAAGCAACGGGAAACCGATAATTCCGTCGTCCTAAATTTAGAACTTTAAAAAGGACGCAGGGCCTTTAGAATGCTTTATTAATAACCGTTATAATTAATGGCCTGTTATTATGTTTGTCGTTATGTTAATTGAGAACCGATCTAAAAGGATAAGATGTTTTAATTTTTTCGCTTCCAACTTAGCCCGTAGCTGTCTGATCACATTGCACGTTATCTCATTCAGCTATCTAGAGTCTGTTCCTTTGGCAAAAGCCAGCTGAGGCATATACTTCCTTCGCTGTTTCATCTGCCATGCAAATGCCTGGGATATCACTGTGACCAGGTAACCAAACCACGGCAATGTTGTTTGAGTTGAGGTGTTACTTGAGAGTTTCTTCAGATTGCTTCTTCATTTCATAGCCACTTTTGATGTGGTAATGTTACGTTGTAGAGGTCGCTTAATGAGAGCATCGGATAATCGATTCCGCAGCCCACTTTTCCATCAAGCTTTGGTTATGGCTCCCTGATCGAGAGCGCTGGTGTTTTCTCCACTCATTTCTGTTTGGGATTCTCATGGAGAAAAGATTGCCAAAGAACATACTTGAGGAGGTGTAGTTCAGCTCCTTCAGAACTTCTGCAAGATATAAAATTTAAATGCGTCCTATACTACAATCCTTCCTTATCTTAAGCTGCATTCAATCTGATTACGTTGCAGCTCACTTGTATTTTCTCGTATAGGTCCAGATTTAAACACTTACTTATTTGTGTATATAAAAAACGTTGCTATGCGCGCCAAACAAAACACGACTAATACAAACAATAACATAATTACGGTATCTATTTTCTATCCCGCCCAAACTTTCTTGCTCGTACAATATTTTAAATAAATTTTACTCCTCCAAAATGTTTTAATTTTCGTAGTTGCCTCTATTTAATCTTAGTGCAATTAATGATGAAGTACGGTGAGAATGAGAGAAATGGCTAGAGAAATCTACTATTTTTTCCATGCAATTTCGATTACGTCTGCTGTTTTAGAAAAGAAAAAAGTAACAACAACAACTATCGAATATGAAAGAATGTATTAAATTCCAAGTATGTGAGAAGTGCATAAATAATTATGTGTGTTTTGATTTGACTATTCCCGTACGTTCATATATACATACATATATACGTGTTTGAACGTTTTTGAAGATATGCAGAAGCACATATGTATGCATATTCATACGGACATACATACGCGTAAGTAATAACAAGTACATATGCATTTCTTGGCTCTCCCGTTTCTGTTAAAGTCACAGAGAGTATTAGAGGGCCTTAAAACGTGATCTCTTCAATTGTTAAACAAGTCGTAAAGTGGTCATGCTCATGAAATAGCATTGCGAAGTACTTACATATTGCTATATCTGCGAATTTCCGTGCGTATGAATGAATGTGCATGTAAACAAGTATTTATGTATTTACGTATATAATATGAACTGCAAAATTTCAGATCTGCACTAAGGTCTCCTGCAACAAACTGATTTGGAGTCAGGGAGATGCTTAGCATTACTCACAACATTTCACTTACTTTCGCGGCCCACCCACTCATTTTGCGCTTTTTTTACATTTGTACAAACATATGAATATAGGTTCCTATACATATGTACATACACGTACATATGTATGTATTTATGAATGTCAAATCATAAAGGAGTCCACTTCTTCAGTATACTTTTGTTTTAATCATTTCGTATTCTCATTTATGAGTGTATTACTCGTTATACCGTTTGTTTACTTGGAGGTATGCATACAAAGGTAGGCACATTATATTATATTAAGTAAATGAACAAATGTTTGTATGTACACATGTACATATGTACATATGCACATAAATAAATATTCGTGGGTACAATTGTTTGTTTAAACGAGTATAATTGAGCATCGGTAAGATTGCATCGCATTTTTTCTGTGCCTTGTGGCTCAGTTTGTCTAAACGGTGATCACTGGCGCAACATTAGTTTTGAGTTGGCTACCAACGCGAGCGGGTCATTCTCTTTTCAAGCGAAACGTACTGATCAATACGGGTTTAGCTATTTATTTTGTATTTTGTCTTAGTTTATTAATGGCATTCAAATATTTTACATAGCATCTTTGCGGAAATTTTAAATTGAAGCAAATATAAATTAATTATGATTTATTTATGCATATGTATATGTATATATACACATATACACGCATATGTATAATTTGCCATAATATGTGTATCTGCTTTACTTATGCTTGCATATAGAACTGTGTATACATATGTATTGTATATACATTCATACATATAATGTACATATGTGTTAATACATACATGCATATATTTATATATCAAAAGTTAAATGAAAATAAATAAATGAAATCGTAAAGGAAGACTATTTTTAATAAGTTATACAACGGCATAAATTCTTTAAAGCAATAATTTTTAATACATCAGCACTAAATGATACCTAAAAATATATTAAAAAAAAACTAATAAAATTATTAAAAATTGAACAAGCGGAAAATAGTGTCCCCATGTTGAATAATCGGTTGTGACTTAAAAAAGAATTGAAAAAGAAATCACTTTCAGATATACATACATATGTAGATATTTATATTGTGTTAATGAAAAAAAATATTTTTTATTTGGGATTTCAGATCTAATATTAAGAATACTCCGAACGAATTAAAGTACTTTAATAACGCCCTCCTCTAACATCCTTCTAAATCTCAGCTATAAATAACACATTTTACATGATTTTACTAATTGGAACAATTAAAAAAATCTAAAATCGAAAAAACTCAATTAAAGAAATAAAAAAAAAAATAAAAAACTTCGAAACGAAATTCAACGGATATTATCTTAAAAAAAATCAGCATGATGATGGAGAACGGACTCTCCATGGAGTATGGAGATGGCTATATGGAGCAAGAAGAAGAATGGGAAAGAGAAGGACTTCTTGACCCTGCGTGGGAAAAGCAACAGAAGAAAGTAAGTGACATATTTATATAATCTAAATCATTTTCAGATACAAATTTTAATGAAAACTATTTGATTTTAGCATGAGATCACATTCACGTCAATCGATTGTCTTGAAATCTAATTAGATTGCTTTAAGCATGACTATTTTCTAAAAATATCCAAAAATAATTAAAATAGACTCATCCTACATACTATAGCCCGATTTTCTATTTACACAGTGCCAAATTTTCAGTTTCACATATATTTCCTTCAGCTCACATTCAAATTATGTATTTTCTTCATTCTTTATAAGTATTTAAAAAAGTATTTTTTTTTTTAAATTTAATTTCATAATTCTAAATTATATACATATGTATGCCTTTATGCACAGAAGGCACAAATACATTATCAGAGTTAAACAAATGTATAAGTCAAGAAAAATATTCTTATTTTTTGTGTTTCGATTCCGCGAAAGTCTACCCAAAGAGCTTTTTATTTATAAAAATAGATTTCAACTCGACACATAAACTAGTGTGCAAATGTTTTTGGCTCTTCGCAGTCACAAAATCTCAAATTTATGTACAAATTTTAAAATTTAGCTTATGAATTTTTCAATGTTACCTTGAAAATTAAGTTGAATGTCTATATTTTCTCTCTAGTATTATTAGCCTCGAAAACATATTTTAACAGTATTTCTTAAGCATGTGCAGGGAAATGCATGTATGTATATGTACTTGTGTACATGTCTCATAAGTCATATTTATTTAATAACCTCTAGAACAGAAACCCAATAGATGATAAATAATAATAATTTTTTTTTTCGCTTAAAGAAAATGCAATAGAACTACCAAAAATCGGATTAGTCCTTAAAATGCTGCTTCGAAAACTGATAATCGGAAAATCGTGTTTGCTGTGTGTTTCAAAACTACAGCGAATTCATTATAACCTTTTTTTTATTTAACTAGATATTTATGATTTCGGTAAATTTTGATGTTATTTAAATATATTTATATATATATCTGGTTGTGTTATTTACAAATTTTGTCGGCATTGGAAAAACAAAATACACGCAGACGCTTCATTTTCCGATGCACTAATTCCAAACAATATTTTTTTTTTATATACATAAAATGTATATATATTTTTGAAACCGCATAAGCGACTTTCAGCTAAGCTTCAATTTGTGGTGTGAAACCGCAACATATGAGGATCCTAGAGTTTTTAACTTTCTATGCCTATGTTATTTCAAGTCATCATTTCTCGTTGTATACGAGGATAAACGTTTGCACAACGAAGTATGTTAAAAGAACACTCCTTTTTATGAGGATGAACCAAGATAGCATTAAAATAGAACACCCAAATCTAATTTGATGGAAGTCCTTTTCATGCGTTAAGTAGTCAATACAAAAATTATTTAATAATTTTGAAGTTTTGAGTAATGTTGGATAGAATTAGACTTTGTGTCTTATCCCAAGTAATACAAAACAGCAGTTTTGGAGACAACTGTTTTTGCAAACCGATTTAACGAATAAAGAAATCTGAAGTATGGATAATGGGCGAGTAATCCGACTGTTTATACTACATACTCTGTGTATATTAGGTTTGCACATTAGTATGATTGTTATACCAGGCACATCATTCAATTATAACTGCCAATTCCAATTATCAAACGGTACTTCTGAAATGGTCATTCAAATTAAAGTCTTGCCAAAAAAAAAAAAAATAATAAAAAAAAAATAGTAAATAGATAAATAACAAATAAATAATACTTGTTTTTAATGAAGAAAAGTAGTAAAGATTTACATACATCCACTTGTGCCGTTATGAAAATCACTTCAATCAATTGTAGCAATAGTGCCTGATGAAAACTCAATGAGAAGCGTCAAATTTCATTCACCCAAAAATGGATTGTGGAGAAGAAGTGTGCGACGCCTCGAGCTTTGAGCTTTTAAAGAATATAAGCATATTTGCTTAGAGAGTGTTTGTAGATATTTCTCAATATTTAATTGTTTTGCGCATGCGTCTAAGAAATCATTTGGGAAAATAATATTGGCAGGAATCTATAGGGGATAGATAATCAGAGGTTCGCTGTACCCCTGACTGAACAGTTCGTAATGCAAGCTGTATACGCAATATCGAAATGCCTCTATATTAATTGTCTAATTAGCTCATAAACTTAGGCAACTATTTTCATTCATATTTATTCTTTATTCTAATGCATCAAAATAACAAAAATAAAATAAATCAAAGTATTTACATTCGCAACATATTGAGAGCAGAAATCTCATCGAGCTTTATTACCTCTAACAATGCAGATGAAAAAAAAATTAATTACTCATGCTGCTGAAATTTCTTATCTATAAATAAATATACAAGTTTCTTTAAATACCGAGATGAATTTGTACACATACGTACATACATATGTATACACATTAGATAACTCTGTACTATATATTGGCAAATTTACATTAGAATTGTTGCTGTATAATTGTATAAAAAAAAAAAAAAAAAACAAACAAAAAAATGCACAAATGTAAACCGAGTACAGTCTTCTGTGCAAGGTGCTTTACAAGTTTGCCAAGGATGCGAATTTTTAATATTTTTCCAATCAAAGTTTCAACGCCTTGTACCTCTGGCATTACTCAGCAACGAATATCCGTTGAAAGTTGTCAGCTTCGCCTTGACTCAAGGTTATATTTTTAGGTTTGATAAAAAAGGGGGCGGAGGAGGAAAACAATATGTACTGTAATAGTTAGGGGAAATTTATACAGACACCAGCAGACGCGGTCACACATTGTTGTGACTTTCTGTATTTCATCCTATTTTTATTCTAATTCGTATTACACTGTAGTTTCAGATATTCTACAAAATAGCCATAGATATATAGAAGAAGAAGACGGACCTATTAAGATAAATTAAAGAAGTAGCGAGAGGCTAAGTTCGGGTGGCGTCGACAGCTTTGTTTATTATTGCATTACTGTAAAAGTAGCGTATTTGGGACAAATGTTTGCCCGTGCTGATCGGTATTAACCTTTTAAATAAGAAAATAAGTATGGTTCAATTTAAGTTGCTAAAGGTCTAAATATTTGGTGGTAAGTGCGTTGAAGTTCCCGCATTATCACATTATCACTTTTTGTGAAAAGATTAACTTAAATACATAATTCTATAAGATTCACATTTTGCACTCAAGTGGGATCAGTATCAATTGTAAATATATTTTAACTTAATGTTTGGAGCATGGTTTTATTTCGTCCGATCACAAGAAGTATTCTCTGGCCGATTCCTATGAGTCTGAATTATACGACCTTTCCGCAAAAGTATGACGCGCCACGTCTGTTTCCGAAACTACGATTATGGAATAAACTCGTGTAACTTGTAATAAAACTTAATTATACAATAATTGCACAAAAAAAATTAAATTTGTAAATTACTTTGTCGCCTTCTATCGAAAATATGCTTGCATAATAAAAAATCGCTCTCATCTTTTGATATGAACGAAAGCAAGACGAAATTTCTCCGACATTAAACGAACAGTCCTTCCCGTTTGCTGCACGTCGGTTACACCAATACAGAATTACTCTTGTCAGTAACAACAGACGATAGAATTATGAGCTTTATGAGATATATATATATATATAGTGAAATTCATGAGGTGCAGCAAACTAAGAAACAGCCGTTACGCTGTCTACATGGAGTCGTTCAGTTCGACCAAAATGTTATAGCAGCGACTTGCGTCGGAGCAATCTTTAGCCATCAGTTTATAACATAAATTGGACTAACCGCTCCCAATTAAAAAATTAAAAATCCAAGATGTGAAATTATAAAGTTTTACATTTTATGATATGACTAATCTATAGTACCCATATTATTCTAATGAACGATATATATGTAGTTCAATAAAAGGAACAACATTTTCATTCGCTTAGTTCACTCATATTGCAATCTTTTTAGCTATAACCAGTGCTACATTTTCATAAAATTGTACTTAACTACATTTTACAACCGATTGCCGCTTCGATTAGCCGTATCTGACCATTGAAGCGCCAAATAATTTGAAGTTCTCATCCAAGGAGCTTTTATTGTTTCATAAAAGGTTTAAGTCTCCGTTGTCAGCCGTATGCTTCTAGTGCAAACCGCCCCTTTTCACACTTTCATGTAAGAGTTCATGAGACCCGCAAGCGGTTTAAAACTAGCACAAATCAGATGAGACACTCAGTCGGAATTCGCTTACAGGAATAAAAACGTCATTAATTAATGTTTCCCCACATAAAATGGAAACTCCTCTTGAAAATGCTTTCCAGAATCGTCTCAGAACTGCAAGTCCCTGAATGGCTAATTTTTGAAGTGTATCCCAAGACGTTAGGAAAAAGATCAGGCACAGTAAACTGCCAATAAGAAAGTATTAAATTTCAAATCAATCTCTAAATACATACATATGTACATGCGAAATAGAAGATTTCTCAAGAAGAAGGGGAAGAAATTAATATATTTTATTGATCTATCAAAGTATTTCTATCTTTATATAAATTTTCAGTAAGTTTTTAGTTATTTGTAAATACATGCATACTATGTATGTACATATATGTAGATAAAACAAATATTTTTTTCTAAAACTGAATACCTCGTAAACAAAACCACACATCCTACATTGGTTGTCTATAAAACAACTTTATCTCCTATGCCGCATGCCTACTTCGTCCACTTCACATCCCACCTCTCACATACATACTTCAACTTTTAGGCCTCATATTAGAATGAGTGGAAATTGGAATTATGATATTTTCAATAGAGGTAGAACCTGTTGGTTCAATTTACCAAAACGGTAAACTTAAGAAACCGGATTGTTTTTGAATTGGTTCATACTGGCGCTGGATCTTGACTGTCTTACTGCTCCCGCTGCATTTAGTTTTCTCTACTTCTGTTGTTGTACGAAGTGAATGGTTATTAAAGACAAGTTTACCTATAAAACAGCCACGTATGTATGTATGTATGTATGTATGTATATATGTGTGTAGTTGGTGTTGTTTGCCGTCGTTAGTTGCATGTATGTATGTATGTATGTATATATGTGTGTAGTTGGTGTTGTTTGCCGTCGTTATCAAAAGAAAGAAATCTGTTGCATTTCAATAGCGCGAAAAGAGAAAACAAGCATATTGGATTGGTGGTAAGCTATAATATTAAACGGGATTAGTCAGTTGCGTTTTTCCTCTCATAATGGTGACGGGCCAGGTCCATGCACATGTTTGTTATCATATACGATACATGTGTATGTATTCAAATACATATATGTACATATACGTTCGCGTGTATGCATTCAATGTCAATGAATACTGGAAAATGGCAATGCAATTGAGATCAATACATAACGGATTGTGTTGGCTGGCTGCAAATGTGGCTAGATTCGATATGTCTCAACGGAGCTGTGTGTGTGTATGTCAGTGCATAGAGTTTGTTCTAACACCGTTTGTGTTTATGAACTGTTATGTGCTTATTAGATACCGTTTTCCAACAGTCCGGTTTTGTTTGATTTGGCTTAATCTAAAAAAGATTTACATTCATCTGAAAATGGAGTACCTTTTTTATTGAATAGAACTGACTTGAGACCGTATATAGACGCACAAACAGTTTACCAGACTGCAGTCCCATAAGCGTATGTTAGTTCAAACTGGCCAACGAGTTGAGAAAATTTAGCTTTAAACTGTGTTACTGAGTTTGATTGCACATTCTGTTGAAGAATTCGAGTTTTCAAAGTAATACGGCTTTCTTTAGAAATAAGGAAGAGTATTTAGAACACAGGATTACCAGCTCAATCATTCACATTCTGGTCTCTCAAATAAACTGTTGTTCTTCTCACTAAACTTATTCCATAGGATTCCATGAGCAGCTTTACGACAATTTTCTGTCAATTAATTACAATTATTTCAATTTTTATTGAGCTAGCGAGGGGAGGCTGCAATAGCCGAGTGGCAATTATAAATACGTACTTATAAAATATAATACATTGCAGTTTGTTCATTAGTCAACGTTCCCAACGCAAATAACATACTTTTATATATAGCGGTTTTATAAGTGATCTTCGACCGGGTTTCTGCTTCTTTTTTATGATATAATATTTGTCTAATATATGGGGGGACCTACAGCTTTAAGCCGAACGGTTGGTGTCTTTAGTGGCGAGATAGTATTTTCAATTTGAATTCATTCATAGGTGTTGACGATTGAAAAATTTACCAAAATAACTAACCCCTAAAGTTCAAATATCCATTCAAATGTGCAGAAAGTGGATGCGGCGTGAGTATGCAAAAAGCAACATTAACGGCATGAAAAAATGGACCTTTCCAGGCACTAAGAAGAAAAGAGTTATTTTGATCCACAAGTAACTCGCATGAAGCATTCTGATGGAATTTGCTTTCCGAAGAAACGATCTGCACATTGGTATTATACAAAAGAGCATATCATAAAATTTTTAGATATGCGTATTGCCATTATTCATTTAATTTATTCCAATTGATTTCGAAAGTTTAGAAGTTGGGAAAAATTACTCTGGCCCTAAACTCCACTTCTCTTTATGAATTGCCAGCCTCTTAGATCTTTCAAAAACTCGTAGGGCGAAATGTCACTGACTATACCCTGCCTTTGCCGGCTCTCCGATCTCGAATTTAAATTCTTCCTTCTTCTTTACCTGTATCATTTATAATGGTAGAAGTTTAAATTACTCAAAAAGTATCAAATAGCTGGATGAATATGTTTTTGCTGAGGTTTAATAAACTGAAACTTTATGGGAAATTTAAAAGTAAAATTTATTTTATTTTATTTCAAGCAATTCAAAAATCTTACTAATGTAAAAATTGTTGTTTTTTTATATTCGCAGACATTTACGGCATGGTGTAACAGTCATTTGAGAAAAGCCGGAACATCTATCGATAATATCGACGAGGATTTTCGTAATGGCTTGAAGTTGATGTTACTGCTTGAAGTGATCTCAGGAGAAACCTTGCCAAAGCCAGACCGCGGCAAAATGCGTTTCCACAAAATCGCTAATGTTAATAAGGCTCTGGATTTTATTGCGTCGAAGGGTGTGCATTTGGTATCGATTGGCGCCGAAGAAATTGTAGATGGCAATCTAAAGATGACGCTGGGTATGATCTGGACAATCATTCTACGATTCGCAATTCAGGATATTTCTGTTGAAGAGATGACCGCAAAAGAAGGCTTGTTGCTGTGGTGCCAACGAAAAACTGCTCCCTATAAGAACGTCAATGTTCAAAACTTCCATCTTTCATTCAAGGTAATTTATCTTACTCATTTGTTTACTTCATTTTAATAATTTCAATTTTATTATATAGGACGGTTTAGCTTTCTGTGCCTTGATTCACCGACATAGGCCTGACTTGATTGATTATTCCAAACTATCCAAAGACAATCCATTGGAAAATCTCAACACTGCCTTTGATGTTGCTGAAAAGTATCTTGATATTCCAAGAATGTTGGATCCAGATGGTGAGTGTGTTTTCTTAAATGTTTAGACAACAAATAAATAAAAACACTCGAACTATCATCACATATGTAGACATGCATGCATATGTATGTTCGTATGTATGTGCTCATATACACCTGTGGAAATATGAGCATTTCTGTGGCCACAATTTATACAGTCCTTACTTTAGTTAGAACAAATCAGAGCTTTTTTCGCTCAATAGCATACCATTTAGGCAGTTATGACTTGTGACCACAGATATATTAATGCAGTTACGAATTTTAAGAATCAAATTAGTTTCCACTTATTTTTATAAATTTTTAATAAAAAATACGAAATTTGATTAGATTTGATCAACACACCGAAGCCGGATGAACGCGCTATCATGACATACGTATCCTGTTACTATCATGCCTTCCAGGGAGCCCAACAGGTTGGAAATGTGACGCATGTACCCGAACCCACAAGAAAATACACCTACGTCCCGAATTACAATGTGACTAAACTTCACATCAATACACTTATTCATTTTATTTTTTTTTACAGTTTGTTTTTTGGAAATTCCGTCCTTAATGCATAAATTGAACTTTATAAAGTCTCAATAGAGCTTAGGCACTCCAGCTCAATTTGTGAACAGATTTCGCTACTCTTTTGCATAATACGCTGCGCGCTATACGCTTACGCTCACAATGTTTTCATAATTTTTGTGTTTGTAACTCGCTGCTCCTTTTATTTTAACTTTGTAACGTGTCTTTAAAAAAATATGTGTTGTTATTTACATAAAATGCCTATGTCTTTGAAAATTGTAATTCATTCAAATTAAATAATGTGAAATATGGAACGGTGCCGGAGAAAAACAATTGTTCTTCAAGTTAAATAATTTGAAATTATTTACGGATGTTTTTATATATAAACGAATGTACATATGTAATCGTAAAAACTTTCAAAGTATAATATGAAAAGACATTTTTCTTTCCATTCGTTTTTTTTCCAAAAGGCAAATTATCAATCATAACATACACAAGTGTCGGGTCAAGAAGGATATAATTTGCATACATACATACTTATATTTCTACTTAGAACTTTCTTTTCGCATCTCCAGTGACATTTGTGACATTTTTTACGGCATGGTCTAAAGATATGTTAAATTAGTTGTTTATGCAACATGCTATTGTTGTTGTTTTTATAATGCTTTAACTGCAATCAAAAGTTCCCTTTTGCGATGGTCGGCAAAAAGAATTAACAAACAGTTATCAGACTGCGGTAAAAGCAAGGTGCCACTCCTAATTATTTAATTTGCGATTTCATTAAATAAGTTGTTTCTTTTTTATTATCACTGGGCATCGAATAAATAAGCGCTAGAAGTTTTCTGACTTTCATTTCTTCTTTTTTAATTGCCTCTTAGAAGCAAACAGTTTAAGAAAGTATCGTCCTATAATTGTTGCTAAAATTGTTTCATTGATTTGATCTATCGCCAAAAAGCATAATAAACAATATGCGTTCTTTTATATTGTAAATTAAATTCAAAAATAGCAAACAAACATAGAAACGATTCAATTATTCATAGTTAAGATAAAATTGAATCGAATTTAGCTGATATTTATATTGTTGTCTTGATCCGAGGTCATCGATCATCGCTTTCATCCCAGTCGTCTGAACATTTGTTGGGTTTACTAGTGCACACATTTTATACTACTATGCTGCATGCAGAAATTTGCGTTATTTATAAAAATTTCAGGACTTGCTGCTTTGCTGATTTTGCTAATTAGAAACTTAATAAATTCAATTAAAATTTGCAAGCCTGCTTAAGTTTTTTAATAAATTTACTAACCTGTGTTTTGTTTGTTGCCTTTTTTACTTACTTTCTAACAGACTTGCAGAATACTGCGCTGCCAGATGAACGAGCAGTCATGACGTACGTGTCATCGTACTATCATTGCTTTAGTGGCGCTCAAAAGGTCGGTGCTCGTTAAAACTTATATTTAACCAATTCACTTCTATGTAGATAATACTCAATACACAATATCTTTATAAATCAGGATCCCCTGATTTAAAACTTATATAAATACTTTGAATATACCAGTGGGTCCGCTTTCGCGAGTCCGAAATTTAAAATAATTAAAAATTATCCTGTGATAGTGTTACAATACAAAGAAGTATTTTTATTTGATGTTGTAAATTTTTTTTCAATTTGTATGTACTAACAACTTTATTTATTGATTGGCTTGTACTGTTCCTGCAATTTTCCTTCTAAGCTATGTTCAAAGCGTTTATTCTAATTCGATATACATATTTGTCCGAGTGCAAAAATATTTACATTATGCATTTTATATTTGTTAGGCGGAAACTGCTGCTAACCGTATTTGCAAAGTACTTAAGGTGAACCAGGAGAATGAGCGTCTCATGGAGGAGTATGAACGACTGGCAAGCGATGTACGTAATTCAAGTTATATTCTGTACGTATTTTATTTAAATTTCTTTGGATTAATTATACTTCATAGCTATTAGAATGGATTCGTCGCACTATGCCATGGCTTAACTCCCGCCAGGCGGACAACTCTTTAGCTGGTGTACAGAAGAAACTAGAGGAATACCGCACTTATCGCCGCAAACACAAGCCGCCACGTGTTGAACAAAAAGCGAAACTCGAAACTAACTTCAATACTTTGCAAACAAAGCTTCGTTTATCTAATCGTCCAGCCTATTTGCCGACAGAGGGCAAGACCGTTGCTGATATTTCAAATGCTTGGAAAGGCTTGGAATTAGCAGAAAAGGCTTTCGAAGAATGGCTTTTAGCCGAAACCATGCGATTGGAACGCTTGGAACATTTAGCTCAAAAATTCAAGCACAAGGTAAAACTGAATAACGGCTTATAGTTGCTGCGTATGAGTTGATAATAAATATTATTTTAAATTATTTTAGGCTGATGCCCACGAAGATTGGACTCGTGGTAAAGAAGAGATGTTGCAATCTCAAGACTTCCGTCAGTGTAAATTAAATGAGTTGAAGGCACTCAAGAAAAAGCATGAAGCTTTTGAATCTGATTTAGCAGCTCACCAGGATCGTGTAGAGCAAATTGCTGCGATCGCTCAGGAGTTGAAGTGAGTTTTTAGAAGATGAAATAATGATTTCCGCATTAAGTTTTTTTGATTAGAAAGAAATTTAAGAGCGCGTGATATTTGCAACAAAAAAAATACGAGTTTGATTTTCATATATTCGGATATCATTTTTATTCAATTTACACGCGACAGAAACAAGGTAGATTTTAACAATTAAAAATCATAATGCCCTTGCCTCCTTGAAAACTAGCAAACGCCTTAAACGAGTTTCAGTAAAAATCAATTTCAATTAAAGGGAAAACAGTAACTGTCAGTATGTGTGTATGGATGTTTAGAAAAAATATCTAATTGTCTCTTGAAATCACAAATTGGAGAAGTATAATAGGATGCCCGAAAGTCATTTCAGAGTTTATAAAACATTATTTATTGTAGCCCTCACTTATACATAGACTTTTCGATTTGATTTGCCATTAATTTTTGACTTTTATTCTTAGAAGTAATTTTACTTTGACTAAACTTTACTTTTCTGAACGTCTGGTTGAATAGTATGAAATCGTTCATTTAGGTCTAGTTACATCACATAGTTTTATGAAACGTCCCTGCAGATCAAAAGTTAGTTACAGTTTTACTGTTATATAACTACTACCAGAACAAATTACAATATCTGAATGTTTCAGACGTTATAAATAAGAAATAATACATATGACTTTTTAAGAGGTTTGCTAAAATACTAACGACAAATTCCAATGGATAAGTTATTAATTACTAACTACTTTACTTTTACTCCTGTGTAGTACTCTTGAGTACCATGATTGCATCTCTGTTAACTCTCGATGCCAGCGTATTTGTGATCAATGGGATCGCCTGGGTGCACTGACTCAGCGTCGCCGTACAGCTTTGGATGAGGCTGAACGCATTTTGGAGAAAATCGATATCCTGCATTTGGAGTTCGCAAAGAGGGCTGCTCCATTTAATAACTGGTTAGATGGAACCCGTGAAGATTTGGTTGATATGTTTATTGTGCACACAATGGAGGAAATTCAAGGTCTCATACAAGCTCATGATCAATTCAAAGCCACATTAGGTGAGGCTGATAAGGAATTCAATTTGATCGTCAACTTGGTGCGTGAAGTTGAATCCATTGTGAAACAACACCAAATTCCTGGAGGTTTAGAAAATCCATATACAACTCTTACTGCCAACGAGATGACAAGAAAATGGAGTGACGTTCGTCAATTGGTGCCACAACGTGATCAAACACTAGCAAATGAATTGCGTAAGCAGCAAAATAATGAAATGCTCCGAAGACAATTTGCTGAAAAGGCCAATATTGTGGGTCCATGGATTGAAAGGCAAATGGATGCGGTAACCGCAATTGGAATGGGTTTGCAGGGCTCGCTTGAAGATCAATTGCATAGACTTAAGGAGTATGAGCAAGCAGTGTATGCCTATAAACCTAATATTGAAGAATTGGAGAAGATTCACCAGGCTGTACAAGAATCGATGATATTCGAAAATCGTTACACTAATTATACAATGGAGACATTGCGAGTAGGATGGGAGCAACTGTTGACTTCTATAAATCGTAACATTAACGAAGTCGAAAACCAGATTCTTACACGCGACTCTAAGGGAATAAGCCAAGAGCAGTTGAACGAATTCCGATCCAGTTTTAATCACTTCGACAAGAATCGTACAGGACGACTAAGTCCTGAAGAATTCAAATCATGTCTTGTTTCTTTGGGTTATTCTATCGGTAAAGATAGACAAGGGGAGATGGATTTCCAAAGAATTTTAGCCGTTGTCGACCCTAACTCTACTGGTTATGTGCATTTCGATGCATTCTTAGATTTTATGACCCGCGAAAGCACCGACACCGACACCGCCGAACAAGTGATTGATTCCTTCAGAATCCTCGCCGCGGACAAGGTATTTAAAAGAAATTTATTTATTTAAATATTATTGATATCTATTTATATATCTCTATTCCACAGCCGTTTATATTGCCGGATGAACTTAGACGTGAACTTCCTCCAGACCAAGCGGAATACTGCATCCAAAGAATGCCACCATATAAGGGACCGAATGGGGTGCCTGGTGCTCTAGATTACATGTCGTTTAGTACCGCCTTATATGGCGAAACTGACTTGTAAAATAGAGAATTCTCCAATATAATAGATACATACGTCGAAAAAAATCATTAAAAAAGGAAAAAAAGCCAAATTAACACTATTAGAAAAGCTACATATCATAAATGTAGACATCAGTAAAATTGAAAATGATTCCTTCAGCGGTTTTCTAATATAAAAGTTGATAATATTTCGATATAAATACTTCCGGAGTATGAATTTTCTGACATATTTTACTAATTACCATCACAGCGGTTTACATAGATAATTTTAATAACATAATTTGTTTTTTTTTTGCCCTATATTGTAGTACATACAAACATACATATACAAATATTTGGGCTAATAAGGGCACAATACTACTCACATGCAAACAAATGCATACATGTGTTTGGTACCTCCACTCGCCCATAGTGCTTGCCATTGCTATTTCGTATTATGTAATCCTAAACATTTTAATCGTAATTATATTCCCTGAATATGATATTTAGAATGAATAACATTTAGATACAACTTATGCTCTTGATACAATGCCAATGACAATTAAATATGGATTTCAAAGGAAAATAAAGAAGGAAACGAAAAGGAATCAAAGTAATTTTCTACTGATCCAATGTATCTAAGCGGTTCACTGATTTTTATTTCTTGGGCGAATATTAAATAATAATATATATTTATTTTTCAAAGTTTTGTTATATTAATTTAATATTTATTTTGAGATTATTTTAATGATTTCATTTTTTATTTAATTCTAAATACGTCTTGTATAATTACTATATAAACTTAGTATATGTTACAATGATTGAAAAAAAAGAGAAGAGGGCATTATATGATAATTTGTAAGGATTATAGAATGTTCAGATGATATCAAATCAAGAAAATAATAACATCCATTAAAGTCAAGGAAAATATACTTTTGTATATTAACTATTCTATCAACTATACATACATACACAAAATTGTGAATTGAAAGAATCACATTAAAGAGACAAAAAATGGAATGAATCTGTTCTTTATTTTGGGTTTTTGGCTTTAAACAAAATTCGGTTTTTGGAGTAGTCAAAGTATAATGACTAACGAAAGATGTGATAAAATGTCATTTTGGTAAATTGAATTGAATGATATCAATTAAATAGTATACGAAAATGTGCTGAGATGAAAGAACCAACGAATAACGGCTTGTCGCACCAATAAGGAGAAAAATAATTTGACAAAGCAAACCATGATGGAAGATTAATACAAAAGTATAAAATACGAAATGTGTATGTTACTCAGCTATGTGCATGTGTAAGCGCTTCGTGTTTAAAAAATAGTTATTGTGTTGCACCATACTATGCTACTATAAAGTAATTTAAAATACAATTTTACAAAGTTACACATAATCTTTACACAAATTGTGAATACATACAAACAGAATTTTATCTCATGTCAAGGCCATCCCTTGTGTGTTCTTTGCTTCACCAATGGAAGTAGATCATCACTTGATAGACTCAATAATAATGTCAAATATCGATTATCGTTTAATTTGAATTATTAAAATTTTATACATATACTAGCAAACCCGGCCACCCGTTGCTGTGGCTTTCAGAATTTGTCCAACTTTTATTCTGATGGGTATTGTGTAGGACGATAAAAGAAACCCAAATTAAGCATCATCTAAGTCAAAATATTATATTTTTATTATATTATTGATCTAACCATATATTTGTCTGTGTGGAACACCTCTAGGCTGAATGTCGCCTACGTCTTCGCTGGCGTCAATCGTCAAGGTGCATAGGCACTTTCTTGCTTGATCTTTGTTTAGGTATTCTGTAAAAGCAATGCACACGAAATGATACGAATTGAGAAAACGCGGAACCCCTGTGCATGGGAAATTTTCTGTTTTTGGAAGTTTATTTGTGAAATTATGGTTTTTCATTTTGATATTCGAATCATATTTTTAAGTTCAAATCAATAAAACCGGTTGTTCTTTTCAAACTCAAGCGATGACGAAGAGAACAAAAATTTAAATATTCACCGTAGACTGCGGCGATCGTTGTCGAATTCGTGCTAGGGGATTCGTGATAGCAATTGGCACTTATACTGATGGAACATCCACTCGGGAAGATTTCTCGTTTGACACTTCAGAAACTCTCTCTAAATCTGATGGTATATTGTTGTTGATAATGTCAAATTGCGTTTCATTGATATTATCATTTACTTAGTGTAGTAACATCTGGATTCAACAGCTCTTCAAATCCCATAAAATTTGCAACAGAATCTTCAAGAAGAGTCAATACCATCGGAGAGGTTGTGTTGGAAATGTTTTTTTGGAGATTCCCGTTGTTGTTGTTGTAACCGCTAAATTATTCCCCAAAGCACTTTTTGGGGAATGTTGCGGGAGTGACAGTCCTTGGCCGGATAAAAATCCGGATCGTTCCGGTATAAAGACCCGACTGTCGCGGGAACTATTGGATTTTAGTCGCCTCTTACGACAGGCATGCCTTACCGCGGGTAAATTCTTGAGCCCCTAACCCGCAGAGACTCCAAGTTAAATGTGGCTTATGTTCCGTTACAATAATCTCAAAATTAGCCGCTTTAATTTTTGCATCGTGTGTTACGTAGAACGGTCGTCAGTAAAATGACGATAAGAATCGACAGAAAACAATGGCGATAACGTCGTCGAGCATACCGCGACAGTGTCGTCTAATGACGCTGTTGACGATGGTGTTGAAAGGAATATCAATGTTAGCGTATCGTCATTTTCACTGACGGAAGCTAAACGACCTTTAGGATCTATGACCTGCGCTCCACCAGTGCTTATATGGAAATCATGCATATTTTTGTCATTTTGTCGGTTATCCTTTTCCCCCAAAGAAAGTATTATTTATATTTAGAGCAAATCGAACTTGGTTCCACATCATCAAAAACTTACACTACATAAAACCATGAATAGAAAGAAAAAAGAGTTTCAATTAAAAAACAATATAAATATTATATTTTCGAAAAATGATATTTATAAGAATATATTTGCGTCTTCTGAAGCATTGCCTAATCTAATCTTTAGTTTATTGTTAAAATATTTCTCCTCCCATTTGTGGTGTGCGTCTCAAAGTTCTTTCTATAAAATAGATCGACATACAGTTTATACTGAGTCGTCTCCGGCCGGCATATTAACTTTTAATAGGAGCCTTTATTTCATGTCAAAAATACAAGGTTTGTCATTTCCTGCCGAGAGGCGACCGCACAAAAAAATTATTTTTTGACTTAAATAAATTTTCTAATTTTTGGGTGTTGGTCGGACTAGAACTCGAAACCTAGCCTCGGCTGTTGTGGTCGCCTTCTTAAATATATTTCTTAAAAATATTTCGAATCACATAAAATTTTTAATGTAATCCAACTCTGTACTTTTCAAAATTAAAATAACTAAAAATATTTTTAATAAGGAAATTTATATGAAGCTACGTTTAAAAGCAATCCTGTTAATGACCAGTAAGATTAAATTATCATCCGGAATTTTTAAAATTATCCCGCCAAAGATCAAAAAATTGAATTTCTTACGTTATTCCGAAACAGCATATCTGGTAAATTTATTACAGAACAAAGCGGTGCCATGTTCGTTCTGAATTTTGAATCGTTTCTAAGATGATATCAGCATACAAATGTAAATTTGATTTGAAATAGAAAAGAAATTTTCTAAGGTCTAATGACTGTTGATAGAAACATCACACCAATTTATTTTAATACAGGAGACTAAAAATACATTTGGGAATTATCTGATATGTACATAACTGTAAAAAAATAAACTTTTGTTTTAATGTAACTGTACGTGGCTACTGAAACTTTTCAGCAAGAAACTTTTCGAGAAATAATTTCAGCTGTTTTCGAATGTAAACAAATTAAATAGCTAGCGCTTCCACAGGGAACATATAATGATAATAATAATAATAATAATTATAATTATAATAATTACTATAAGTTCTCTGGCAGTATTTCGATCAAAGCCACCTATCTGAACAAATCGATGTATGGCTATGTGTTGTAGTGGTCCGATTTTCATAATTTTCAGTAACAAAATATAATTTCTTATAAGTATGGATTTTAGCCCCAAATCTCAAATCTGATAAATCGGTCAGATCTGTCATCTCTAACTTTAGGCCGCGAGCTTATCAGCCGCCTCTCTTACTTCGAACCAAAGTTATTATACCATTCCATGTTTATGAAAGCCAAAAATTGATTTACTTTTGATAATATCTGTAAAAATAAAATGCAAATACTCGGGACAGAGTATAAGCTTATATTTAATTTAATTTATTAATATACAAATATCTAAGAACGTATAAAAATACACGTTCTTTGTATCTAGTTACGAGTATTTCACCACACCACTGATGATGTTGATAACACAGTTTCTGGATGTTAATGCAGGGCAACCGTAACTACAATAAAGTGCTGACTTCCGCTGACCACGGTAAGATCGTTGGTAAAATTGCTTTTGAAGTGGCTATCAAAGTGAACTCACAGCCCTTGCAGGGGTTGTAACTACAGTGGACATCGAACTTACTTTGCAAAGGAAATTTCAGCTTCCATTTTGTGAAATTAGCTTTTGACTGTTCACACTATAAAAACTACACATGAAAACGATAAATCTGTGAGCAGACGATGTTTCATTTTTTTTTTTGGTATAAAAGAAGTGAAAATGAAGAAGACATTTTTTTTATAAAATATCTTTATTTGTACATGTCGCAGTAGCAGAGGGGTTATCAGTGCGCTCAACAAAGTGAGGTCATGGGCTCGAATTCTTGCCGGGGCAACATCCAAAAATTGTAGAAAGTTAATTAAAAAATAATAATAAAAATTTGTCGGAATGCGGTTTACCCTCGGCAGAGAATGGCAATCCCACCGAGTGTATTTCTGACCTGAGAGTAAAAAGTTCCTCACAAAAATCTATCAGGCGGTCGGGAGCGGCTTTGTTTAAAACATTTCATTTCAATAATAAGGAAGATTAATTCAGCGAAAAGATTTTGCTTCGTTTCAATGCCACGTTAGCAATACGAATAGAATCGAATACAATTTTCTGATTGTAAAAAAGGTCTTAACATATTTGTTAGTAAATTTTCGCAAAAACAACTACATCGCGACAAGTTTACCGCTACAGATTATCTGAGCACTTTATCGTGGATAAATAGGTAGAGGGGGAAAAGTGAAAACAAGCAACAAGTAAAAGCGGCACACATGTAACTTAATGGGATAACCATTGGCTCGTTCTGTGGGCATCCCAAGTTCGGAAAAAAATTGAGCAATGCTGTCTCGAAAAAGAAATCTGATGAGAAAAACGTGGTGGTTTCCGAAATATAACTTCCGACTTCATTAAATTAATTTCTTACTTAAAAAATATGTTTGTGAACATGAGAAAATAAAAATGCCGGAATTTTTCTTACTCCGTTCATCTTCCTAAATAGCCAGGTGAGCTAAAGTAAGAAGTTGAATTCCCCTACGGTTATTTTTAATGACGACCTCCTTTTAAGGATCACGATTTGAGGGCATGCACCTGGAATATCCGGTTCCTATTAAAGGCTAATATGAAGGCAAAGACGGTATTTTTGGCTCTAAATGGTATGAAGCTGATCGACTTCGCCGGGACTCGAAATATGGTTGCCTGTAGTACTAGATTTAGGACAGAAAATCGCGCAATCACACGTGATTGACGGAAGATATGCCTCTATTGCTCTAGATATGCGTACATTGTGAGGCGGGATATATACTGAGAGGTGCAGGCGAAAGAAGAAGGAGTCCGAAATGCGTGAGTATGAAGAGTAGGAGAAGTTGGTGGAGAAGGGTAACGCTTGAAAATTGTATGGAGAGATGCGGTGACTAATAGAAGGTTTCAAGACCAGAGCATACTCATATAGGAACCAATGTGGTATAAGGAGGAAACACTATACCCAACCTGCTGACTGGCAGTGAAAGTACAACAGTCGTAGATGGCGAACCCGAAATCCCAATCCATGATGATAAAGAC